AGTATTCAAATATCTAAAAGGCACAATTGACTATTGCTTGACTTACACTGGTTACCCTGATGCTATAGAAGGGTATAGTGACGCCAATTGGGTCACGGATTCCAACAGTGTAAAGTCTACATCTGGATATGTATTTCTTTTTGGTGGTGCTGCTGTATCCTGGAAATCATGTAAGCAAACAATAATTGCCAGGAGCACCATGGAATCTGAGCTAATTGCTCTTGATACTACTTGCACAGAAGCCGAATGGTTAAAAGATCTTCTATCTGAACTTCCTTTGGTCCCTAAACCCTCTCCTCCTATTTCCATTCACTCTGATTCTAGATCTACCATAGAGCTTCTAAAGCAAGTACATGTAAATAAAAAACATAACAGACATATTCAAATAAGATATAAGTCTGTACAACGCCTATTAGGCAAAGTTGTGATCTTGGACTTTGTAAAGTCTGAGAAAAATCTTGCTGACCCTTTGACTAAGGGATTATCCAGGAGTGTGGTTCTGGATTCATCGAGGGAGATGGGGTTAAGCCCATAAATGAGGTCACTGACAGTGGTAACCCAACCCTTATTTGGAGACGTAGTCCCAATGTCGGTTCAATGTGGTAGAAACAAGCTGGACAAGTGACTCTCGTGTGGAGCATCGACCTAGATATATTTATATATCATTATGTAGCATTTGCTACTACCCCTTCTCTATGGTAACGATGCTCTTATGATACAGCTGGCTAGGCTGAGTTTTACTCTTAATAAGTCCAACGCGTGTGTTGTGGGGGGTATTAAATAAACAGCTGTAGTACCCTTTGAGGACTTACCTACGTGAGAGGAACCGTGATGGCCGCGGTTGGGGGGGGCAGGGCTGACCCCTAGAAACTCTCATGAGTCGGTTTTTTGTGAGCATGGCCTTTAACGCTCAACCCGCTTAGCTCAATAGATGAAGCGTATTGTGTGTGTTTTCATCAATACCTGATTAAAGGGGCCTAATTCAAGGCCTAGTCCATTATGTCCCTCAGGTGGCGATGAACTCACTAAAGAAAGGTTCAAAGCCGAAAGCTACCTTTCCCGAATTCACGATACGAAAGGTTGCCCAACCTATATTTATTCTGTGATTTATTTATTGATTTATTATTTTCAGTCAATATTGCCTTTTGGGGGGACTGTTGGAAGCTTTGTTCATGAAAAGGCAATTTTGCCTTTGTGAATAGTCCCACATCGGAAAATGAGATGAATAGTAAAGGGTATATAATGGTTCTCTCCTTATTGGGCTTTGAATAGTGTTTTGGGTTTTGTGGGCTTTGCGGTTCTACCACACACGCGAGCGCGCGCGCGCGCGCCACGCCGCGCCTTTTATACCTCCAAGAAAAGATTTCGGCTACATATTTACATATTCTATTTTCTGGGCAACTGTTTTCGTCTGAGCATAAGCTCTGTGTCTCACGCCCGAGTGCAGAGGCCGGCCGATTCCGGGGGTTTTTACCGCTAGGGGAGAGAGGACAAACTGCGCCAGGGCGATAGGCGGGTCCTTAATATTCTAGGGCAGTGATATCACGACTGCTCCCAATCAGGCCTGAATTTTCTAACTCTTTAATTTGTTTTATATTATTATTGTTTTGACAGCAGTTTACACTGGGGGGGTTATAATTTTGCAAGGGTTAAAATGGTAAATTTCATTTTCCATATTTCTAAGGTTGCAACTGCCCATTAGAGCACTATACACATTTTGCCAATGCCGCCTCGCACTTTTCTTACCCCCTATTAAACATATGAAAATCTTTACTTTGTCTTACAAAACCTTCAATGAGCTTTTAAACTTTTTCCACCGGATCCATAGCTATAAATAACAAATAACAAACATATTCTCGAGAGATAAACTAACACTTTTCAGGAAGTTGGGGCTATGATATCTGTAAATAAAAGGTGGCTAGATTGAGCTTTTTCTCTCAACAACATTTAACTTATTGCAACTACATATAGGGACTGTTTGATTCGTTTCTTTGATATAGAGAAACGCAATTCCATGTAAAGAAACACAAGTTTTGAGTTTTTCAAACTTTTCCAAGAAATATATTGTTTTGCTTTGGTTCGCACATAAAAAATGGTGGGAAACCAATGTATTTATTTTTCTTGTGTTTGGTTCGCATAGAAAAAAAAGGGAAACTTTTGTAAACAAAGCAGAGAAGGAAAAAAATCTGACGTGGCAGAGTTTTCATCAATTTCACTTGGTTGGGGAAGGAAATCAGAGAGGGAAAAAAATCTTAGTTGGCGGCGATTTCAGCAGAGTTTTTCCTCTTCCATTTGAGCGAACCAAAGCAGCACAAAGAAATGGACGGAAACAAAAAAACTGACATGGAGGGCTAAAAATCTGACGTGAAGGGGTTTTCTGAGTTTTCCACCACTTATAATAGCGAACCAAACAGCCCCATAGTGGAACAAGTGAAAAAAAATTAAAGTTCAGAGACGCTTGCAAGACATGACAAAATCTGAGGGGTTTGCTAGAATAAAAATTTTTAGGGGTCCCACTTGAAACACCCCAAACATCAGGGCTTTGCTTTAATTAAAAAAAAGTTTGTTGGTTATGTGCAACACCATCTAAAATTCGTGGGTTTTGCTAAATTTAACCTCTAAACATAGATAATATGCAGTAGTTCAATGAAGGTCCTTGACGTATCAACCAAATATCATTTGGATTTTTAATATTTGTAAGTCATTAGTGAATGTTCTTAATGTTACCTCATCATTAGCCTAGGTCCATTTTACAAATGTCTGTTATTTTTTGCTGGCATCAAAAATCAAATTGTTATCTATTGCTGTTAATGTTAATAATCACACGGGTAAAAGAGAAGGTAGTATGGACGGGGTTGAGATGGGGGTTCGCTCACTTCTACGAATATCCGGTTGAGACTTGGACTGTTAGTCCCTGCACGTGTAACAATTCGTAAGAGGACGGGGACTAGTTCCCCCACTGTTCCTCCGACGATCAAGTCAGCTATATACTTGAGTGGAAAAATGAGAACTATGCTAGTTCTGAAGTGCAATGGAATGGAGAAAAATACAGAGAAATTGCTTACCTTTATATTTAGAATAATTTCCCTTTTTATAACCATGCAAGAGGGGTAGTCTAGTCTTTTTGGTTGAGCTTGAGCTGACGGCTGAGTTAGCGTCGACTTTACAGGTGTCAGACGAAGAACGGTCACGGGATGGGCGTTGTCACTTCGACATTAATGAGATGGGATAGGCAAAGCCGGCGTGGTCTAATGTGTCATAAATAGTGCTGAGGATGGAGAAATGATGGCGCATGCTAATCATTTAATGTGATGTCGACACGCTGTCATCGGGGGATTCGAGATCGAAATTGCCTTTTAACTTTGTAGAGAGGGGTGCCAAGAAGTAACGTCTTTCGAATCGACACAACGAGACGCTAGCTAATTATCCCATTGAGTGGATTTGTAGTTAGTCGCCTTCAATGGGAGGACCGGCAAGTATCACCATTTGAGTCTACTTCGCGAGACGACAATTTGGCGAGTCGGCTAGGTCGACCTTGGCGGTCCTAAGTGTTGAGCTGACTAAATGTTGCATGACGAAGGATATTCACATGTTGTCGGCAATGGGTCATAAATTGGCGACTAAAAACACTATAACAATTGCTATTTCTAAGCAAAATCTCAAAATTACTATTCATGATACAATAAAAACTATTCTTGATGTAACATAATTCAAAATATTAAATCCACATCAACCCGAGGTGTCAGTTGTTTCCCCACGCACATCAAAAACAACACAGCATGAATCCACACCAACCGCTGCTTTTGCGACGGACTACGTGTCAAATTTTCATTCGAGGACATATCTATTCCGGCAGGCTGATTTCCTACTGAGGGGCAGGAGATTCACATCCTCCGGTCATCCAAATCCACACATACTCCGCTATAACTAAAGGACAATCCAAAGAGTTACTGTTTATAATATAGTAAATTACTGTAATATAAACGTTACGTTGTAGTTTTTTATTTTATCATAAATAGTGAATCAAATCTGTTCCTTTACTTGAAGTCGTTATTCATGCTACAATTTTACTGCATCATAACCAGTAAAGCAAATCAAATGTATTAAAACTTGGATCCGCATTTTAAGTATAAAGGAGTAGATATGATTTCTAAATCAAATGTATTAAAAGTTGGATTCTTCTTTAAGTATAGATGAATATATATGATTTCTAATTTTAAATATACAATAACCAAATGTATCAGATGTATTAAAACTTAGAGAGAAACAAGTTCAAAATGTACTGCTTAAAAACAGGGCCCGTGCTTTTCATGGGAAGCACATTGGTCCTCTATTTAAATAGTTCTCTATAAACCCAAAACCATACTCTGATTTATTTTTAAACCCATGAACTTTCCAAGTCATTCTTAAACCAAATAAAAAAAAATTAAAGATTAGTATGATAACTGAGATAGAAGTTGAGCTTAAAATCATTTAGTTATGGAATTTTGGGTTTAAGATTTAAGAATAATTCTGGATTAGTGAGTTAGCTATAAATAAATAAAAGTTATATTTTATGTTTACAAATAAACAACGCGATATTAATTTTTGGTGCTGCAGGGGTCTGAATCTAAAATTCTCCTTTCCTAAAGGCTTGTTTGGATTGAGGGGAATGAGGGTGAAGAGAAGTTAGGGGAACCATTCACCTCCATTCACCTTGTTGTTTGGATTGAGGGGAATGAGGGTGAAGAGAAGTTAGGGGAACCATTCACCTCCATTCACCTTGTTTGGAAACACTTAGGAGGTGAAGTTAATTCACCTCACCTCCATTCACCTTGTTTGGAAACACTTAGGAGGTGAAGTTAATTCACCTCCATTCACCTTGGTTCATCCTCTAAAAGTATAAAAATTGTTACCCCAAAATTGAGGTGTAATCAAGAAAAAGTGAATTCCCTTCCCTTCCCTTCACTTCCCTTCACTCAGTTTCCGTTGACTTCCCTTCACCCGCTACGAATCCAAACAGGAGGTAAGCTTCGATCTCGCGGTTCTTTTCATCACGCTCTCTCTCTTCGGTTCTCAGATCCGTAAACAATTCGAAGAGCGAGGGTTTAGTTTCTCGATCCGAGCGTTTTCTTGCTCGGATTCATCGATCCGTACAAGATGACGAGAGATCAAGAGAGCTGGATTCTCATGGCGACAGCGAGAGCTCCGACGAACATCGCCGTGATCAAATACTGGGGAAAACGTGACGAAACCCTAATTCTACCTATCAACGACAGCATCAGCGTCACTCTCGATCCCGATCATCTCTCGGCGACCACGACAGTCGCCGTCCTAGATTCGAGAGCGATCGCATGCGGTTGAATGGAAAGGTATTGCTTTCTAATTTTCATTTATTTTCTTTATTTTTTAGGGTTTTAAGGTGATTTTTTTGGGAATACAGGAAATTGAATGTGAGGGCTGAAGATTTTGAGGATGAGAAGGAGGAGGTTAAGATCAAGAAAGAAGATCGGGGGAGATTGAATGTGCACATTGCATCGTATAATAATTTTCCTACCGCGGCTGGATTGGCTTCATCAGCAGCGGGTTTTGCTTGTCTTGGTAAAGAGAAAAGATTGAACTTTACTCCTTTTTTACTTTCATTGTGTGAATTTTATGGATTGTAGTTAGATTAGGGTTAGCTCGTCAGTAAGAATTAAGAATTACTTTCGTGGTAGGCATTATTGGAACTAGCCATACATAATTTTTGCACCTTTGATCAATTCCATATATTAACTCATGGCTAAACACTGTTTAGTTGAGTAACCTCTGTATATTCATAGCATTTTTTGCATAGTTAAATTAACATGCGACTACAGTAGGATCTTTGGGGGAAAAATCATGTAACAAGCTTGTACAGGTATGATACATTGTTGAGTATGATTTAAGTTGAATAAATTCTGTTTGCAGTGTATTCCCTCGCCAAGCTAATGAATGTGAAGGATGATTTTGGCCCTCTTTCTGCTATTGCAAGGTCAGTTTAAAAAAAAAAAAAATTCTTGACATGTACATTCTCAATGGCACTTGATTTTCATAGTATGTTATCTCATTGATGCATACATGAATTTGCATTTTTGTTGATTCCTTCTCTGTCTATCATCTGTATTTTCATATCAAAGCTACCCACAATCAACCAGCTTTGTTCCTATTTACCTACCCAACACAAATTAGGTTCCTACCAGGAACATAACAAACTATGTCAATTCAAGAGCATCTTCATTCCTATAGAAAATGGTGGATGTAAGAATCCACATCGAATAATGTCCTTCAAGTCGCACGTTGCTTTCTACCACATCGTTTCAAACGAAGTTTTACCATAACATTCCTCTAATTAAATTTCTAACCGGTATGGAATTGATTCAAGATAGAATCATGAATAGTCATTGGATCAACGGTATATAATACTTTCTATGTATCTATGGATAGATAAATAGTTATCTAGAAAAGTCTTAGAAAAGATTTAAGTCCCATATTCTATCATATGAATGAAAAAGAGAAAAAAATACGAAAAATGGGTTTACTTAAGTATTATTTACATCTTCAACAGATTGTTCTGGATGGTGAATCATGAAAACTGTTTTTCTCGAACAAATAAATTCTAAACCGCAAAAGAAAGGCTCTTAATAGATTTTCAGTTTCGGAACTTAGTTATTAACCAAATATAAGCTATTTCGATGACGCGAAAAAGGTCGCAAGAACCTAATCTTTTTGTATCCATCATATATAACGAACGATTGGTACCAGAAGTAATCATGAATATTTAAAGAAGCACATACCCTTTTGATTTGAAAGGGCCGCTGTTTTTGAAATAGAACAATACAATAACAATACATAATATATTATTTTGATTTGAAAGGGCCGCTGTTTTTGAAATAGAACAATACAATAACAATACATAATATATTATACAGACAGATTTTGTTTTACTTGAGGTTCAAGAACCTTTCTGCCAATTCTATAAAGTCAAGTAAATGGAATATATAAATTTTCATCCATCTAACCGTTACATTATATTGATTTCCAATTATTCATTTGAATAAGCTGAAATACAAAAAAAGAAAATGGGATCCAGATCAATTCGTTTTTCCTATTTTTTTGCTTCGAAGTTTTAAGACGAACGATGAAATGCAATTAATACCAAAAACTACGTAATCTTTAGTCTGCATATAAATATGGAATACACCTTTTATTTTCTTTAGGCATTCCTTGGGGCATGGAATAGAAAAAAGGTCTTTTTTCTATTTCAATTCAGAATACACCATGTAATAATTCCCATTTCACGGATATGGAACACAAAATTTCCCTAAGTAAGTAACGTCAATATGAATATGAGTATAAGCATACTCTGAATGGAAATGATCCACCCCCAATTCTTTTTTGAATTAAGAATTCAAAGAAATATCTTTATTTCTACCCGTACACTCGATCATGTTTGTGATAAACCAAATGAAAGAAAAGAGAAAATTCTTAGAATTCTTCCTAGTGCTCGAATGTAGAACAAAAGTTTGAGTCAGATTATATCCAAATATCCAAGATTAAAGATAAAATAGTTAAAGAGAAGAATATTTCGTTTCTTATGGAAAGAATCTGGGACGGAAGGATTCGAACCTACGAGTAACGAGACCAAAACCCAGTGCCTTACCGCTTGGCCACGCCCCATTTAGATTTATATTAGACACTAATAAAGACTAATATTAATATTGGTCATTCGTCAATCCCAACCCAAATACATATAAAATACATTGTTGCTGGGATTCAACACATGTAAATATAGAATCAAAAAAAATTATTGATCATTACAGAAAATTCAATTAAGATATTGTATGAAACTATAATTCCTTGTATTCTCATTTGAGAATGAAAGGAAAGATTTTGGATTGGGGAGAGTTCGAAGAAAAAGAAGGATTTTTTGACTCACCTTTTCATTTTTCATAAAAAAACTAAACCAAAATCAAATTTTCTAATCTACAAGAATAAAATCTTTGTTATGCTTAATATCTTTAGTTTAATATGTATCTGTCTTAATTCTACCCTTTATTCGAGTAGTTTTTTTTTCGCCAAATTGCCCGAGGCTTATGCCTTTTTCAATCCAATCGTAGATGTTATGCCTGTCTTCGCCAAATTGCCCGAGGCTTATGCCTTTTTCAATCCAATCGTAGATGTTATGCCTGTTATACCTGTACTATTTCTTCTATTAGCCTTTGTTTGGCAAGCTGAATCCAATCGTAGATGTTATGCCTGTTATACCTGTACTATTTCTTCTATTAGCCTTTGTTTGGCAAGCTGTGGTAAGTTTTCGATAAAATCTTTAATACTCTGCAAAATTGATGATTTATCCGAAACAAAATTCTAAAAATTGATAAGATCAGATAAGTTTTACATTATAAACCCTCCATTCAAAAGTCAAAATTTTTGTATATTGAATTGAATGATCGTGGTGATAAATTTGGATCAACTTATTTCCCCGTTCTGACCTTCTAGTAAACAAGGACTTTCTAAGGACCCCACAATACCTAATAAAGGATTTGGCCAAAATTTTTGGTAATGGAGGAATCAGAGTCTTTCTTTTCTTATTACAAAGAAATTCGTGAAAATTACTTTTTTTTTTTTCAAGATTCAAGAAAAGACTTCATTTTTGGGGGGGTTATGTCAAAATAGCGTATGTAAGAAAAAATAGGCAATCTATTTCCTTTTTCCAAAAAAATAATCTTGGAGATTATGTAATGCTTACTCTCAAACTCTTCGTTTACACAGTAGTGATATTTTTTGTTTCTCTCTTCATCTTCGGATTCTTATCTAACAATCCGGGCCGTAATCCTGGGTGTGAGGAATAAAAAAGTTGGAGTTTTTCTTTACTTTTTATATATTCAATACATTTACCTATGATGAAAAAAAGAATCGAAATTTTTTCACATTGGAAAGTCTGAAATAATCAGAGGAAGCGGAGAGAGAGGGATTCGAACCCTCGGTACAAATAACTTGTACAACGGATTAGCAATCTGCCGCTTTAGTCCACTCAGCCATCTCTCCCAATTCAAAATTGAAATTTTTTTAGATGATGTGACACATGAAGTAAAAAGATTAAAAAAACCTCATTTTCTCTTCATTCTTTAGTTATATAATTATTATATTTATTCTTTAATAATATAATTCATTCTTTAATAATATAATATAGTAATGATAATAATAGCAAAATAATATAATGAAAAATAAAAAAATAATTAAATAAATAAAAAAGAAAAATAAATAAGATATCTACGAATTTGATCAGTAATTCAATTAAGATAATGATTTAATGATTCGAAACAGAGATCTTATCTCCAATAGAATAGATAGATATAGAAAAAAGATCTTACTTCACTTCTTTGATTTTGTAAGATAAGGTTAAGGTTCATTCCCCCGGCCTGGTTAAGTACTGGCCGGGCCATTACTTGTTTTGTTCTGATGAATCATTTCATAGATCAAACAATTTATAATTATTTTTGATTTGATATTAAATCAAATATAATTCAATTGTTATTGAAACAACAACAAAGAAAATGCCCATCCCTATTCCTATGATAGAAGTGTCGTTTCTTATTATTAATACTATAGAAATATAGAATATGCATATTTTTTCAATTCTTATTAATTAAGTATTTTTTTGTTTTATTTCCTTAATTATTTAACTGGAAAAGAACACATACGTATATTAATATTAAATTATATAAAAAAATGAAAATATTATATAAAAAATGAAACACACATATGTTATAACATATATAACATAACTCATTTACTTGTTCAAGGGACAAACTTTATTTGAGATACAATTGATCTGAATTCAAATTCATAGGATCGGGCAGTTGGAAGGGAAGTTGAAAAATACAATTGATCTGAATTCAAATTCATAGGATCGGGCAGTTGGAAGGGAAGTTGAAAATAAAAGATGCTACCTTAATTTTATCTCATTCTTTTGTTCGACAAAAGATCCATTCATATATAATAATGGAGATATGTAGCGGACAAAAGATCCATTCATATATAATAATGGAGATATGTAGCGGGTATAGTTTAGTGGTAAAAGTGCGATTCCTTCAATTAATAACTTAAATAGTTAAGGGGTCTTTCGGTTTTTTCATATTACGATCAAAAAAACTTTATTATAACTTAAATAGTTAAGGGGTCTTTCGGTTTTTTCATATTACGATCAAAAAAACTTTATTTCTTAAAAAAGTTTAATCCTTTTCCCCTCAATAGTATATTTGAGGAAGAATATACATTTTCACGATTTGTATCCAAGGGTCAATTTCAAATTGCAATAGTATATTTGAGGAAGAATATACATTTTCACGATTTGTATCCAAGGGTCAATTTCAAATTGAATAAAAAATGGAATTATGGAGTCGCGAAGCATAATTTTTTGATTTGAATTGGATCAAATCTTCCAATTGAATGAGTATGAGTAAAGGATCTATGGATGAAGATACAAAAGTTTATTTCCAATCGTAACTAGATCTTCAATTTAAGGATCTATGGATGAAGATACAAAAGTTTATTTCCAATCGTAACTAGATCTTCAATTTTTGTGTTGGAATGACAAGGTTCAAGTAGTGCATGCCGAAGTCTATATGGTGGTTTTGTCAAGTGGAAAATGGGAAATGTAAGGCTACAAGGAGATGATTGAAGTTTTAGGAAATTGTTTTGGCAAATATTTGTGAGTATATGAAGAATTATTTTTTGACTCTAATCAATTGATAGTTGAATATTTCTAAATATAAGGATGCAAATGGGAGCGAAAGCTTAGAAGTACAACTTACTAATGATAGACACTGGGAAGACCTAGTTATTATCATAGCCGTGGTATGTGGAATGTCAATGTTCTTTATTATTTAGTGAACCATATATGAAATGATTGTTTGCTATAAAGCTTATGATCTTTTGTTATTCCTTGAATCTCAACAAAGGTTATGTAGGTTTTACCCAAAATTTCTTTCATTTTACGTTCTACATTGTTTTATTGGCAAATTAAATTTCAATACATGGGGCTTGTTTTCTTGAAAGAAATTTACTGGCATTATGAACAACCGTACCAAAATTTGAGACCTCTCAAGCATAAGTCTAAACATACTTGTATGCTGACCATTGTCACCTGGCTACTTCTAATAAGTACCTGACACGTACCCGAACCTCTTGGACACTGCTTGAATATATGCATATGTTTGTTCGGGCCTATACTCAATTATATAATACATGTTTTAATTTAAAACTCTCCTCATACGCTTCTTAATGTATATTCTACACTTACACATCTATTTCTTATACACTAATCTTATGTAAATGAAAAAACAATATTGATTTTATATAAATTATTAATTTTAATACATATTAATATACATAACATGCATATATATAACCGTGTCCCCTTACCCTAACTTTTGCAAATTTGCCCTGTTCCATACCCATAACAGTACCCGTACCCGTACTCATGCAACCTAGATGCTGACACATTCTTAGTTGCTTATGTTAATCACCATAGCCAACATTTTCTGAGCCTTTTTCCATAAAATAGGGTTGGCTATGGAACATGACAAGGATCTAGAAATCTCCTTTAACAGGTTCTCATCTAGCATAGACATAAATCAAATTTACAAACAGTTCTCATGTAGGCATCAACCTTTTGCAAGTTGGGGCCAGTTAAGGGAACCGAGAGCAAGGGATGGCCATGTCAGGGAACCTTAAATTAAATCATAACTTTCCTCATAATCTGTCTGAAAATTTTAAGAGGATTTGGTAGTGTGTTTTCCATACTTCTACATACAGAATGCTCCAATTAAGTTGGCTGATTCTAGCTATATGATATCAATACTAAAACTTGGAATTCGAGTAGAAGCTCTACGAGGAAGTGCATCACATCAGTGAAAAGCTTGATAACTCCATGAATCGTCTGGAATTGGGAATCATTTGGCCTTTTCATCCTAATGATATGCATTGATGGATACCTCCACTATTCTAGATTAAATTCGAGAACCTAAAAGGGGGGGGGGGGGGGTTCTATATGGAAGATACTTGCTGAATTTTTCTGTTGTTAACCAGCAAAGGGAAGGGATGTCATCATCTTAATGAATAGATAGAAGCTAATCTATTTAACTTGCACTTGCCTATGATTCCGCCTCATGTGAGGCGTACAGAACTATGAATGAACCAAAGGTCCCATTGTCACTAGCTCTCGCTCATTGAAAAGAAAACTAGAGCACTGAAATGAAGTCCTAGCATGGCTTTGATAGAATATCTATGATGGGGAATTGCATGCCTGGACCGAGCCTCAAGTTGACTTCTTTGCTTAGGTTAATTGTATTTTAGTAACTGTTTCTGGAATTTGATCATCAACACATAGTCCGTTCTTATGCCTCTACCTTTTGAATGGTTATTGGGATCTGGTCATTGACATTTAGTCCATTATTATCTCCCATTACAAAATAAGGCTTAATCATTGGCATATTGAGTTTCTTTTATTGTCTCTACATTAGTTCAAGTTGACTTCTTGCTAGGTCACTTGTATTTTAGTAACTGTTTATTCTAATAGCTCTTGACATGGTTTACTATACATCAAATACTTCATGTGGCCATTTTATGTATATAACTTAATGTATAGCTCAACTGGCTTATTATTCATGACCAATTCCCAAATAGATATATTTGGTTATGCCTTATAGTGTCATGTTTTAGTATTGTGATCATCAGAAGTTTGGAATGTTCATTTAGTTGTTGACCAAATTCATTGTGTTCCAGGTAAGTTCAAGGCAGAAAGAAACTAGTAGTACCACGGGTAGGCGTGAGAGTGTTAAGACCCGTACTCTTTTACGACACCGGGCCGAGGTATTCCATTTCTACATTCATGATAATCCTTTGTTCAGATCATATCAAAATTTCTATCTTTTGTTCATTTAGAATCAGTTTCTATTTTCTTTGGTTTTCCACCGATGGTGCTTTAGAAGACTTACCTGATGTATTGGTCTTCTTGCCACTGTGAATTCGTAGTAGAACACCTAATATCTACATGTCAAAAAAAAAAAAAAGAAAAGAAAGAAAGTTAATACGTTTTATTTTGTGCATTGACAGGTTATAGTCCCTAGCCAGATACTACAAATGGAAGAAGCAATAAAAAATTGAGATTTTAAATCCTTTACCCAGTTGACCTGTGCAGATAGTAATAAATTTCATGCAGTCTGCTTAGATACTAGTCCACCTATATTCTACATGAATGACACATCTCATAGGTTTTATATGCTTTCTAGTTCATTCAGTTTATTTTCTGGTTTTCATCAATTCTTAGGCATGTAGGTTGTGGATAACTTAAAAGTTTTCGCCACATATTTTAACCTAAGAAGTATGACTTTGCAAGTTAACTGCTTATCAGGAAAACCAGCCTTGTGGAGAGATGGAACCGTTCTGAAGGAACACCTCAGGTATGGTTTCATTGTGTGCTAAGTTTTGCCATCTATATATCACGTGCATCATAATGTTGATGTAACAGTGTATCTATTTAGCCCGTGCTGAAGGTATTCATTGAAAGAATAATCAGAGAGGATTAATTTATCTCTCTCCTCTCAAGTCTTATTAATAGTATTGTGATTACAAAATAATTTGCCTCTAACCAATATGGGAGTAAACTAAATACATGAAACTATTTAAATACAGGAAAGACTCTCAACAGTCCCCTTCAAGCTGAGCATATATATCATACATGCTCAGCTTGTCATAAATAAAATTCTTGCTTGCTCTCCCAAGAAGTTTTGTAAGAATATCTGCAAGCTGATGCTCTGAAAGGATATATTTAATTCTCATGATTCCCTTCTCCATTTTCTCATGAATCAAGTGACAATCAATCTCTATGTGTTTTGCCTTGTTGTCTCCATATGAGCTCATTGGACATTTAGGAGGAAAACCAATTTCTGTCAATATAGCTCTAACCCAGATAAGTTCACAGGTTAGATTTGCCATGGATCGATACTTGGACTCAGCTGTAGGTCGAGAAACTACATTTTGCTTTTTTGCTCTTCTATAAAACTAGATGTTCTCTAAGTAATACACAATAACCTCTAGTCAATCTTCTATCAGCTGACTGCCCAATCTGCATTAGAGAAACCTACAACTCGTGTGCTCACTATCTGAATAGAGAACTCCCTTACCCGTACTTTTCTTAAGATATTTTTAAGAACCCTCTTCACAGCCTCCATGTGCGATATCCTGGGTGCTGATAGAAACTGACTACCTATACAAACTAAAAATGCAATATCTGGTCTGATAACCATCAAAGAGTTCAGCTTCCCAACCAATCTCCTATATTTCTCAACATCTTTCAATGGCTCCCCCTAATCTGGTAGAAGTTTGATCTTGTCATCCATGGGTGAATCATACCCTTGCATTCTGACATTTCGACATTTGTCAACATGTCAAGCACATATTTTCTTTGAGATAAGAGAATTCCTTTCTTTGATCTAGCCACCTATATATCCAAAAAATACGTTAGGGGCCCAAGATCATTAGTTTGAAACTGTTATTGTGGATATTTTTTAAACTCTCTGATGGCCTGTAAATCATCTCTAGAGATCACAATATCATCAACATATACAACCATATGGATTCGCTTCTCACCATGAAATCTTTAGAAAACAAGCGGTCTTTCTAAGTTTGATGAAGACCAAACTGCTAAACTACTATTGCAAAACTTCCAAACCAGGCTCTTAGAAATCGTTTTAAGCTATAGAGAGATTTTTTAAACCTGCAAACATTCCCATATTCCCCCTGAATAACAAATCCTGGTGGTTGCTTAATGTAAATTTCCTCATCCAGAATGCCATTTAGAAAAGCATTCTTAATATCTAGCTGATGGAGTGGCTAGTGATGCGATCGGCAAGTGAAATAAGAATGCGGACGGACGACATTTTTGTTACAGGAGAGAAAGTGTCAATATAATCTAGTCTATATATCTGTGAGTAACTCTTTGCAACTAGTCAAGCTTTAAGGCGAGCTAGACATCCATCTGGATTTACTTTGACCATGTAAATCCACTTGCATCCAATAGTTTTCTTTCTAGGCAGTAGAGGAACAATATCTCAAGTCTCATTTTGTTCTAATGTTGTTATCTCTTGCTTTGCTGATGTCCAACTTGGGATAGATAGTGCTTCCGACGTATTATTAGGAGCCGAGTGAGTCTTGAGAAGATATGATGATGATAATGAAAAGTAAGAGACATAGTGTGCAAGAGAACATCTAGAAGGGCAAGATCTCTTATCTTTTCGAAGGGCAATTGGAAGATCATTAGTAGCGGTATCACTTAGCTGTATAGCAACATCTTCACTAACTTGTAAATTGTACCCTTGGTTTGAGGTGGACTCTTGCACATATTTCTGAGTAGCATGTCGTGTATAAGCATGGACCGGCTCGGCAAACTTAGATGGTGGATCAGCCTGCACATCAAGCTTGGAAGGAGTATTGACAATTATTCCTCGAAAAATAAGAAAAATCATAATCATCTTGAGCATGTGAGGGTGTATCAAATGCAATATGTCCTGATTTATTTTCAAAGAAAGTAACATCGACGGAAACAATATAACGGTCTAGAGAAGGGCAGTAACATGTATCCTTTTTGTGTTCGAGAATACCCAACAAAGATTCCTGAAAGGATTTTGAATCTAATTTCGTCATGTGAGGACTATGATTGTGAATGAAGCACAAATGATCGAACATCTTGGGGGTAATGGAAAAGGCTCACTATTGGGGTATAAAAGTTATACAAAGGTTTTATTTTGTGAAACAGATGATGGTAATCTATTAATCAGATAACATGCTGTTAAAAGAGCATCACCCCTAAAAATGTTTTGGAACCTTGATGAAACAACAATGTTCGAGCAATTCTAGCAAGTGTGTATTTTTGCGCTCTGTTATCCTATTTTGTTGAGGTGTGTAAACACAAGATGATTAGTGTGAAATTTCATTTTCATCCAAAAAAATTGTGAATGATTTGTCAAAATATTCTTTAGTATTGTTTGTCCTCAAAATTTTAATAGAAGCATGAAATTGTTTTTTAATTTCAGCAAAAAAACTTTAAAAATAGAAAATACTTTAGAACAAGTTTTCACTAGACAGACCCATGTCATGCAAGAAAAATCATCCACAAAACTAATAAAATATTTAAAACTAATGTTTCACAAAATAGAACAAGAACCTCATGCATCTGAACGCACCAAATCAAACGGGTTATTGACCCTTTTATTGACACGACTAGGTAGGACACTTGCTGGTGTTTTCCTAGTTGACATTACTCACAATCTAAAGACTCAATATGACTCAGATCTGAAGTTATTGTTTTGAGAATAGAAAGGGGAGGGTGACCAAACCGATAATGCTTATCCAAGGCTGATGTAGAGCTGATATATGCAACTTGGTTTGAAGATAGGTCCAATTCATACAGACCGATCCGCTCGTGTCTTGTGCTATTCGTCTTCCTCATCCTAAGTACTTGAAAAATACATGTAAGAAAAATATCACTGTACAATTTAATGCTTTAGTAATCTTACTGACAGACAAGAGATTAAATGGAAAGTGAGGAAGATATAGCACAGATGAAAAGGGAAAAGAAGAAGTATCAACCTATTCCTTCCACAAGTGTATTGGAACTATCACTTAAAACTACAAGGGAAAATGAAGTTGTAGGTGTGCAAGAAGACAGGATACCTCGGTTCCCAGTCATGTGGTCAATTATCCCGGAAGCTACAATTCAAATACGGGACGACGATGATATAAGATAAGCAATAGGGTTATTTGACTGGGCAAGTATAGATGTAGCGGGAGAGGATTGCGTCTTTTTAAACTGCTGGAATAGCTGTAGTTGGAATTGCTCAAGCTCACGACGAGTTTGATCATCTATAAAGGACTTTCCTGAGCAGCTACATGCGCATTCTGAGGTTGTTTGCCCTACAACTGAGGACAAGTAAACTTCATTGACGTGACTCCTCGTAGTAATGACAGTAAACAAAGGAACAATCTCTGATGACTCCTCGTGAACTATCTCCTCTTCCTCCCCGTCTTCCAAAGCATTCCCCATACCTGCTTTCACCCCTATGACTACCGCCACGGCCTAAGAAACTCACCGCAGCCTCTTGTCTGTCTTCCCTGGGATAATAAGGCAGATCAATCAGATGAGGTGATCGGAGGTGTAGATGAGATTGTAGGAGTCATTTGTTTCACCTCTGCAAGTAGGAGACTGCTGTACTGCCTAATACCTATGGTCGTGCTGAATGACAAATAGGGTGTTGAAACCCTAAGAAGATCAAGACCATCAACTAATTCCACTAATCCAGCCTCTGCTTCGCATTTGATGTAATGGGAAAAATCTGTTGGAGTTCCTCAGCTAGTCGATCAAACTCTGCATAATGCCCATCCAATGTCGGTTCCTTCTGTTTTATGCGAAGGATCTCCTGAATGAGGTTGTAAGCTCTATTCACATATCTTGCTCCTGAATATAACCGGCCTAAATATGCCCAAACTCCTTCACGTTCTGATAATGAAGCACCAGATCTTGAATTCGTGTCTTCATTGTGTTGATGATCTGTCCAAGAAATAACGCATCGTCAGTTATCCACTCAATCACTAGATCAGGAGTACCTTTTGTCAAGTGTCGTGTCTTTTGACGCCTCGCAACATGAATTTCAATTACTTGCTTCTACTATAAGTAATTATCACCATCCAACTTCCTATCGGTGATTTTGATAGATATCACTTTCGAAGTGGTCTTCACCTTTGTTTTCTCTTCACTCTTCTAATTAGAAGCCATCAAATAAAAGATCCTCCAAACAACTGTGACAATCAATCATCAACTGGCCCAACAAACCAAACTCCAACAAGTTCTGATAAATACCAACCATATCAATCAACAATGAAAACTAGCACATCCAACGTACAATCCAACAAACCAATCTCAAGCATATCCGGTAACAATATGAAGGGGAAATTTGTAAACGTGTCCCTTCCGTTTTTTGTCTGTAAACAGTGCAATGAACAGGAATCGGACCTGCTTCCTGTTGCTGAACAGTACCAATGAACATGAATTGGGTCTTTTTTGGGGAACAGGGCTGATGAACAGTACATGCCACCGTTTTCAACTGTGAACAGTACTGGGTACTGTTTATTGATGAACAGTACCACGGTAGAGTTAAAGGCTGAGATTTGTGGATGGGGGTTAGGGTTTTGATGGAGCACTGAGATGCGTCTCTGATACCACTTAGAAAGAGTAATTAGAAAGGATTGATTTGTATCTCTCCTCTCAAGTCTTATTAATAGTATTATGATTATAAAGTAATTTGACTGTAACCAACGTGGAACTAAACTAAATACAGAAAATTAACTAAATACAGTATTGGAGCATTTTGATTACTGGTTGAGTCGATTATTTCGTGATGAGTAATTTCAATTATCAGAGCCTAGACTCGAGATCCACTGCAACTTTTGCACTTTAGATCACTGTTCTTCCTCTGCCACCCACTGCTGCAGTATTTACAACTATACCCATCATTTGTGGCATAATTCCAACAGCACATAAGCTGGTAGCTGTAGATGTTGGCTCCAGTGTTCTGAAATGAACTTCCACTGACAGTAAAAAGAGGGGAAGTATCTACAACAGAACCTTTACCCTAAAGAAACTTCCCCTTTCTCCTTTAACAGGTTAGAAGCGAAATACTGAAAATTGGTTAAACCGAGCAAAACTGGATTTCTTTTCCTAGGATATCTTTGTGTAGCATTGGTGTACATTTCACAGAGCCTAGTTGTTCCGTCTGTTTCGTCGATGCTATAGAATTCTGTTGTTGCCTACTAACGTTCTATTCTTTTTTTTTTCAGGACCAATCCAAAACGTTCATAAGATATACAAGTTGACATATATGACTCTATAAACCTTTTGATTTCCTTATGCCACATCCTCTTGTGTTTCGTGTGCTTCATTATATTCTCCTTGACAAAATTTCACACGTCTTGATCATCTGTCATCTGAATTGATTTTTTAAGAATAATATGATACAGATACCATTCTGCATCACTCCTTCCATATTACATGTTGTAGGAAAAGAGAGCCAGCAACATTTAGTCATTCACCTTCATTCTCCTTTAGGCCATGCTCCAGATCCTATATCTTCAATTCATTTGTAAGTCTGCTAAGTTAACTAGCTTTGCCAATATGCTTACCAACACATTATTCAGGGGACACATATAAAGCTAGCATAATACTTGTTTATCCTATTTGGCTTCAACTTAAAGAAAGTCTTAGTTAGCTTACTTCTCCATAAGGTTGCTGGTAGTAAGTGGCGTGCTTCAATCTTTTTTCACATTTTTTTTGGAAAATATTTATTTCCGTCAATGACAATCTGTTATTTATCCTGGCTGTGATCTCATATGGGGATTTACGTGATTATGTTGGCGTCTATATGTGTTCTAGCAGAGAACAAAGTTGGGAATATGTTCCGCAAATAGCACTAAATTTTTACTGAGTCGGTAGTTGTTATGTTGCTTGAGTACCAATCTCATGTTGACGGATCTAAAGTGTATGTTACATTGAAGGGATGATGGGGATGGGTGTTCTGATCTGTCAGTCGCTGGTCAGAGCAAATTTCGTAAACTTACAAGTTGGGATATCTGTTGGTAGAGGCATAGTCAAATGCTTTGTGCCAACAGTCTCAAATTGAGACTTTTCTCACGAAAAAAAGATCTTTTTCTCCTTTCATTATGACATAAGATTATCTTGGGATTTTCCTTCTGCAATTTTATTCCCGTTCTTTTATTCAGAAAATAATTTTGATGGTTTGTGTGATAAAGAACTATCTTTTTTGCTATATGGGTGTTCTGACTTGTGGTACACACCCTACAATGGTAAAAATAATGGCCATCTATTTAGCGCATCAGATAGGATAACATTTATGGCTGCTGGCAAGTTCTCGCATTCACTTACTCAATGCATTGCATACAAAAACGTTGACATGGAGGTTAACCAACACTGTTTGGTTCTTTTGATTCTCATTGAATTTCCTACCAAGTTCAACACCTTGAGTTTTTTTTCTTGCCGCCATGTCTGCTATACTAAGAGAAGAATACGACATATCTTCCGTGACAGGCGGCATGCACCTTTGATGCCGGGCCAAATGCTGTTTTGATCGCACCTAATCGAAAACTCGCTTCTCTTTTGCTTCAAAGACCTCCTGACGCTGAATTGAACAGAGGTATAAGTGCTAGTTCCAGATTTTGCTGCTTTCTGCTAGCCAACAGATAAAGGGGGTTTAAAATTCTCACAATATCAGAATTCTTCATAATTCTTAACATTTTCGAAAGCTTTTTGTTTGGTCGGATGTAAAGTTGAGCGGAAAGTTGAACAGGAGACTCACTTGTCCTACCACTTTTCCCATCAAACTTTTCCTTATAAACTAACCAAACCCTCGGTTGGGATTTTGTGGCTGACAAAATTCTTGGTCTGAGGCCCACTTTTGTCAAGAATTTCATGCAAACAAACAGGTCCTAACACTGTACATGTTTCTCATTGTACTTTTCAGCTGTGTGTTAGGAGACGAGTCAATACTGCATGAAGCTGGAGTGCAATCAGTGAAAGATACTGAATCCTTGCAGCCTCCTTCTGAGACAAAGGATAAGTCCCCAGCTCAAAGATCTGCAGGTAACATAAGTGAGCCATAATAGATATTTTAAGTTTTAAATTAGTTCACAACTTCTATTTTATTCTGTCTTTCCCTTGATGTGATGAATAAGTTTTTTGTGATTTGGCATTATTGAGGATTTGAAAGTACGGCTTGATCGTACTGGGGCTGTTTTAAATTATGCTGTAGTTATACGATCTTAAGCAACTGCAATTGATTGGTAAATGCATTTTTTTTATTTACACGAAATCTAGAATGCTGTACAATTCGTTCTCCTTGTTTTTACGTTGCTACCTTTCTATATTAATGGATCTTCATAACTATTATAGAACTCATAGCGTAGGGCTCCACGGATAAGAAACTGGAGAGAGAAAATTGGTAATCTTGTTGGATCCTCTAAACCTTAAGATTATATCCACGCCATATGTTTCTGATGTTTGATATTAGATCGTCTTCAGTATCGATGCTCCTTTTGAATGTAAACAATAATATGAACGACGACAAAATGTTCTATATTTTGCGTCCTTGGATTTTGAGATCGATGTGTCATGTAGCTTATGCTCGCACTGAAAATGTTCATGGATGCGGGATCTAGTTTTTGTTCAGGAGGTAGAAAAAGTGTAGGGACGTAAATATTGAGGTTTTTTTGAAATCCAAATAAAGCTCAAGTTACTAGTTATCTAGGTGTTTTCTATATAGATGTAGAAAAACCAGATGCTGTGAATGTTAAAGATGCACATGATTATTTGATGCTGTGTGTGCTTGTGAACAGGAAGGAGGTTGTTGGCTGCCAACCTACAAACCATGCAAAAAGGGAATACTGTTGTGTGGGGGACTACTTTCAGGCCCAGCTATCTGATTAAATGGGCTGTAGGATTGCTTTAGCCCTTGACACGATCAAGCTCCCACCCAAAATCAACTGGTTTGGGTCTAGATATTTTAAGGCCAATACAAAGTCATATAGGGAAAAGGAGATGGTGACACCTAAAGACTATACTAATAGACATTAGTGTTATTTACATCATGAATCTTGAAACGACACTCTCTTCACCACACAAGGCTAAATGACGCTTATATGACTTATTGTTTGAACTATTTTTCACTTCTAAACCCTAACTTTTATTTGGGAGGAAATTTTTTTTTTAAAGCTTTTTAAACTCGTACTTATATTCCCTTATTTTTTTAGTGGCACTTAAATACCTTATTGTTTTTTTACAGCTAGCACTTAAATACTCTTAAGTTTTTACAACTAGCACTTAAATACCATAAAGTTTTTAAAATTTGCACATAAATACCCTCAGCTATACAAATTTGAGGGTGTTTGTTGTGCTATAAAAATAAACAAGTGTTAATCACATTCAACTAGCTAACACGTGTCTGAAGCAGACTACACACCAATTCAACCCAGACACACCGACTTCTTGTCTTCGTCGAAGGCTCAGATGAAAGGCATCACACTTCTCGTCCCCCTCGAAGGCTCAGACAAAAGAAAAGACGATGATCTTTGCACTTATCATTAGTCATTGTCACATTAAATGCCAGTCGGAGTCATCATTACACCCATGCCAAAAGTCTTAATGACTCATCAGACTTGTCAACACCTTACTCTACTTGTCTCCGTCGCATTAACATGGGTGACTCGAACCCCTAATGCCGACACCTATAAAGGTATCAACTGACTAACCCGACTACATGGACTCGACTAAGATTACATAAATACCCTCGTAAAACTCGGTATAAATAGGCACATCGCCTACTAAATAAAGGTATGTGATTTTTGCACACTTAGTTAGAACTATACCAATTCATTTCTCATATTCAGATCATAACTAGTTTGATCGTCAGAGGAATCACCAGAGAACCTAACTCCGGTCCTCTAACAAGTTGTACATATGCAGGACTCTCTTCATGTTAGGAGATCAGCCATCAAAGGAGATTAAAGGATCCTAAGCTCTTCAAAATTAGCCCTAAACCCCGCTGCTAAGCATCTGACATCAACATTATTTAAGTACTTCGGTGTTTTTAAGTGTCATATTTAAAAACTTTAGGGTATTTAGGTACAAGTTTTAATAACTTTGGGGTATATAAGTGCTACCAAAAACAAGTGATGGTATAAGAGTGTAAGTTTACAAAACTTTAGGGCAACGAGGTGTCACGCCCCGGGCCCGTTGGCTCACGCCCCGGGCCCGTTGGCGCGTGCAAGCCGTATGACCCACCGAGTGTAACGTACTGTTTAGTAAAAACACTGTCAAAACCGACTAGCTGATGTTACACTTGAGTATTTATTTTTCACTATATAAACACCTCAATTTTTCACTCTCCCACCGACGTTGGACTAAATTAGTGGGATGTCACACGAGGATACATAAGTGACAAGCAGATGAAACAATAGGGTAGGGGTGTATAAGTTCTATCTAGCCTATAATGGATGTGCCCCTCAGTAGTAGGTTCCCCCCATCAGTTTCAAGACGCTACTCCCCCCTTTTCACTTCCCAACATGATTACAAATACTAGCAAAAGAAGGTCACACCTATAGGATCTGCCCACCCGAAACTCATCATCATGCATAATATTTGACACCCTCAAACTCGAGATGCTCGACCAAATTACCCACCCTTTCTGATTAGACTCACAACATATCAAGGGAATCACGAAGCCAGAGTTCACAAAGGTCGCCTTAGGTGTACGGACAGCAACGGAGGTCACATCCCTTGGATTTCGATTGTTTCCGAGCGGCGGCTACACCCCGCCTCAAAGCCTCCGAATCATTATTGATAATCATTTGATATCTCGGACATAAAATCAGAGTGTGATAGAAGGGTAAAGAGATCTGACCTCTAAGGCAGCAACTAAGGGGCTGTTTGGTTGTATGTTTTTACCGTGTAAAAGGATAGAAAGTGTAAAAAAGTGGGTCTCAATGTTAGCTTTCATCACTTTATATTGTTTGTTTAAATTTCCTTTTTACATGGAAAGCTTACACATTTTGATGAGTTGTCACCGAAAGCAAAGGGCCCGTTTGGTTGCTGAAAAGAAGAGTTGAAATGGGCAGAAAGCTTGCCAAAACTGACAGTTTTTGTCAGTTTTGGCAGACTTTCCCAAGCCCTCTTCAGCAACCAAACTGGCCCAAAATCACCAAAATTAGGAGTGATTTTTGTTGGAAAACTGACACAATGTTATAAATGTGTCCAAAAAACTAAAAAAAGTCAAAACTTTGTAGATAGTGGTGAGGTGGATAACCACTTTTCATTTTGTGTCATAAATACTCTAGTTTATATTATACTATCCAAACAATGTAATACTATTATTTTAGGATTCACAAAGATTTCTAACCAAACAATGTAAACACTCAAATGGAAAGTGGTGAGGTGGATAACCACTTTTTATTTTGTGTCATAAATACTCTGGTTTCTTAAAAGCATCCAAACAGCCCCTAATATAGAAGAGAGAGAGTTTTGATTTATATTCATTTAGAAATAAGTGTAGTAAACTATTTTGATTTATATTCTCATGTACATTGTTTGATAGTGATATAAGATTTGTAAAAAAAGTGTTGCTCCTTCTGGATCTTCACTAGTCCATCGTATGTTTGTTTAAACATATACATAATCTCCAAATTAGTTTAAAAGGGTTCAATGAATAAATCGGAGTGAAATGCTAAACTGAATTATCAATTTTAGCTAAATCTAAAAATTTATACCACGTGCATTGCAAACTCAATTCACCTGGTTATTCAAATGCTACTGGCTGTCAAGATTGAGAATATAAGGGCCAGCTTTGAGGAAGCCTGACACTGTTCTGTACCCAAGTTTGAAAGATACTAGGATTACTCTCTTTAGTTTTTGAAGTCACAGTTGTCGTAGCTTCAATTCAACTAAAATTTATGTTTTTTGGTTTTTGGGATAAAAAGCAGTGGGGGATCCAAAAGTACTCATTTTTAATTGAGTGGCACTAGGGGCTGTGCCCCGACCACAACTCCAACCATACATCCTCTTTCTTTTTTGCTATAATGCATCAGGCTCCACATAAGATTTTAAAATTTTAAAATCTCATGTGGGGTCCGGTATACTGTAGCACAAAAGAGAGAGATGACGTGTGGTTGGAGTTGTGATTGAGGGTGTACCCCTATCATTTTCCTTTTTAATTACGACATTTCTCTGTTCCTCTTCAATCGTCCATTAAAAAAAAGTCATGTTGCTGACATAGACTAACCATATTAATTGTTTCCTTCACCAATGCCCATAATCTTTGGTATACATATATGATCTGCTAAAAGCCAAGATAAATTAACATTTGAGCTACTAACAAACTTCTCTTGTTTACGCTGTGGTGAAGCACACAGAGAATTAAGATAACAAATTAAGAAGCTAGTAAAGCTGATGCATATATATTTTCACATGTGACATTCAACTGATTAATACATAATATATCCTCAATTAAGCGCCAAAAAAAAGTCCCCCGTCACAATCTTTTACTATGTCAATTAACAAATCAGGGCTTGCTCCCGCTAGGATTGCAGGAGTTAGGGTTAGGGTTAGGGCTCGGGCTCGGCTTGGAGAGCTTCTGCTTGAGTTCAGACAAGAGAGCCTGGTTCTCTTTGTTGAGGAGTTGAGCTTTTTTCCTCAGACTCTCATTCTCCTTCATTATGTAGCAGTTCTGCAGGTACAACTTGTTGAGCCTCTCCATCACCCGGCCCTGAAAAACAACAACAACGCAAGGTTAATTTTAGTTAATTATTATTGCTATTAATAAATACTCAAAATATTAATCAAAGTGAACCAATATTATACCAAAAAAAAAAAATTCTCTCATGTCTCTCTTATACTATTTTATACCCAAAAAAAAAGCAATAAAAAAATAAATCAACCAAAGAACCACAACACTTGTCATGCATTATTAGAGAAAGCCTTTATTTTTGCTAATAAAAACAGAATTAAAGAATGCAATGCAAACTCTACGCTTCAATTGACTGATCTGCAATAGTTAGATAAATAAAAAAGAGAAGAGAGAGAGAGAGGGGGGGTATTATATTTATGAAAAAGCGACGACGGCCACCAAAAAAGTTTCCATATTGTACTATAGTCGGAGCTCGAAAAAGGCATGCATTCTCATTAGGAGAAGCTTCATGCATTCACCTTTTTTTGGTAGTTGGGCCTCTTCTCACCAAACAAAAACTTTAGCCCACTTTGATGGATGGATGGAAGAGAGAAAAAGTTTCAAGGGAAAGGAAAGAGTTGTGATTAGCTTTGAGCTTGGCAGGGTATATATAGAAGAGAGAGAGAGAGAGAGGAGAGAGAGAGAGAGTCTTCTCTCTTCACTTCTCTATAAATGTGAGGCATCATGAGGGGGAGAAGATCTAATGGCGTATCACGTGATGATGGGGGCTTTGGAGGGCAATTAGAATGATGATGGATTCGGCTGGGCCCAAGATTTGCAATGATGGGTTTTTTTTCTTTCAAGAATCGAAAGGAGAGAGAGGTTGGACTTAGAAGGGTTTTTAGGGCCTCCACGCAAAGCCCTTGGTTCCTAGTCCCCACACGCCATCACCCTCGTATTCGTTGTGATGATGCTCTTTTGTTCCCTTTCACAAATGAGTCAACTAGTGTTTTCCAAAAATCTTTAAATACAATTTATTGTCACATGAATGAGGATTGTAATTGCTTGATAACTTTAGAATATAGAATTATAACCTTCGAAATTCACCGTTGTTTTGTAATTTTGAAGAAAGATAAGGGGATGTAGGTTGTCTAAAAATTACTGCAGATAGCTGATCCCCACAAAACAACAGATGATGAAAGATACAATCTGACATCATTCACATCAACAAGCGGAAGTTACAATATGACGACCTCCGCAACAGTCGATGAAAGTTACAATGTGAAGACTTTAACGACAACGTGCGAGAGTTACAAATTGACGACTCTTACATTCCACAAGCGCCAAGTGTAAAGATTACAAGATAACAATCTGCACAAAAGTTAAAGAAAAGAGATTACAATTGACGATCTCTACAAATCCAAACGCGGAAACCCTCTTCCGCGTCCTAGAAGCTCAGAACGCAGAGGTCGCCATGCGCTTCCAGAGCTCAAACGCAGAGGTCGCCATACGTTCCAGATCTCAAACGTAGAGGTCGCCATGTGTTTCAGATCCCAAACGCAGGGTTCGCCCTGCGTTTTCAGAGCTCAAACGCAAAGGTCGATCTACGTTGCAAAGACCAAACGCAGGGTTCGCCCTGCGTTTTCAGAGCTCAAACGCAAAGGTCGATCTACGTTGCAAAGACCAAACGCAGGGTTCGCCCTGCGTTTTCAGAGCTCAAACGCAAAGGTCGATCTACGTTGCAAAGACCAAACGCAGAGTTCGCCCTGCGTTTTCAGAACTCAAACGCAGAGGTCGCTATTCGTTGCCAAGACCAAACGTAGAGTTCGCCCTGCGTTTTCAGAGCTCAAACGCAGAGGTCGCTTTGCGTTGCCAAGACCAAACGCAGAGTTCGCCCTGCGTTTTCAGAGCTCAAACACAGAGGTCGCTATTCGTTGCCAAGACCAAACGCAAAGTTCGCCCTGCGTTTTCAGAACTCAAACGCAGAGTTTACCTGCGTTTTCTCTCTAGAACACGACCCTTGCGTTTTTGACTCAAGAACAGTTTTCAAAACTATCCTGTCAAGGTATGGACACAATTAAAGGCGTGTTAAGGGGCACCTTACCTCCTGATTGCCCTATATATAGGGCTGGATCTCCAGCAAGAACAGGAGGCCAAAAATGAGGAGAAAAGGGGGGCCAAAAATAAGAGAAAAAGAGAGAAGAAAGAGAAGGAGAGGGGTTTCTTGGAGAGTCTTCTTGGAGCATTCTTAGAGCTCTTGGCTTGCTCTTTAAACCCATTTCAGTTAGTTCTCTTGGAGGTTCATCTCCTCTCTAAAATCAACCATTCTTAGGGATTCAAACTCGGCTAGAGTTCTTAACTCTCTTACAGAGAGTTTCTAACTTGTTCAAACAAGTTTCCTTCAAACTCGCCTAGAGTTCTTAACTCTCTTACAGAGAGTTTCCAACTTGTTCAAACAAGTTCCCCCAAACTCGTGTAGAGTTTGACAAGTTCTTAACACTCTCACAGAGAGTTCTCAAAACTCGGCTGGAGTTATAAACTTGCTATCTCAATGCGTTAAGTCAAGGAGATAAGACCAACGCCCCCACGAAGTTGAAGTGTTCGGATCGTCAACGGGATACAAGATTCAAACTCCCATCGCCACAAAGAAGAACCTAATTTTAAACAAAGGGAGGGTTTCATCCTTTCCTATTTTGTAAATCGGGGAACCAATAAAGAGAATTATAGTTTCTTTTTCTAAGTCAGTTAGAGAGTTATATTGAGAGGATTGTTAATCATTCTTTTTCTAAGTCAGTTAGATAGAATAATACAGATTCAATTCTCAAGTTTCTCGCAATTTCCCACGCATACAGGGACTTTAATACGACACCCGAGCAATTTAGATTCAAATCCAAGCGATTAATATTTCCTTCTTCAAGAAGGACAACCAATTTTCTTTGAATCGTATGAGATTCTTGGACCCTGATCACCTAAAAGAAGTACAGACTACCAATTTCTTTATTAATCTACTTAAACAATGAGGATGAGGTTAGGCATCAACCAAAAGGATGAGGATGTGGTTAATCAAAACACTAAAGCTTTATTAGTTAATGTATAGCAATAATAAAATATGCATGATTCTTAAAGTTGGAGTCGGTAGATTTGCTCCTCACCATGAGGTGAACGCACCAAAAAACAATAGCAAACAAGCTAGAATAGATTGTGCGAACTCTGTAATAGTATGATTTATCTGTGATCCTTGATGTGGTCCCTTGAGCTTTAATTTAGTTTATAAGGTACCTAAAAAATTAGAAGAAGAGGGGGGAAAAAAGGGAGACAACTCATTATGTCACGGTTCAAAAACTTCTCTACTCATAATTCCTAAGCCAGTATCCAACAAAATTGAAAATTTGGCTTTAATTTATAGAGATAATAAAAAAAGAAAGTAACGATAATGGTAGGTTACGTTTTTAGAAAAATTTAACGGGTGCACGTTTGTTAGGTAGATAGTCAGCAGCATGCTGATGCTGATTCTCTCTTTAACCACCGGTTGTCCAGTAGATACAGTACACCCATCATCCAATTCAGTTAGCACCCACTTCACGCCTTGGTTGCATCCAGATTATAATAATAAATAACATTCAACGTGAGGGTTTCAACTTTCAACCAACCATCATGGCAAGCTACAACGGTTGAAAGAAATTTCTGCAAGAGGTGCAGGGTCCTGGGGGTCAATTCAAAGGCTCTGCAGAGCCTCCTACCATTCCTTGCAAATTTCTACCCTTTGACCAGGAGAACCCTCCGCTGATCCCAAGTGAGCATTTGAGGATCGAAGGTATAATTCGATTCCAGGCTTTTGCTTCTTATTTACATGGGTTTATTCCCCAAACTTATAATGATGATGGGCGCAGAGGGGAGAGGGTGGGGATCCCTAGATTTGTTCCTTCTGCTTGATGAAGCTGTATCCAAATTAACTCTCAGTGATTTAAAAATGAGAAAAATAACCCCATTTTTTGTCCCGCAAGCTGAAGATAGCATCGTCAGGGGTTGCAGATGGCCTTAAAGCTGGGCAGGTTACTTGATTGAACTCAGCATCATCATAAGCCATCATGAAGAATGAGGACCTCTGCGTTCATTCCTCGCTGTAAAATTTTGACCTAAGAAAATAAAAGATGATACACACTAGCATCCTGCCAGCATGTAAAAGAGCCTCAGCCAAGGCAGTCCATGGATTTAAGCTTAGAGTTCATGCTGGCAGGTGCAGGTGCAGGCATGCCCAAGCCCCTTACCAGGGTCGGGCTAATCCAAAACTTGATTCAGATTGCTGCTGATGAGTCTGAGGATCGAAAGGAGAAAAGAAAAGGAGACTAAATTCAGTAAAAGTAAACAAAAATATATCAAAAACATGGGGTTGTCATTGATGAAGTTATGTTAAAAATATGAAACTCAATATTAAACAAAAATATATCAAAAACATGGGGTTGTCATTGATGAAGTTATGTTAAAAATATGAAACTCAATACAAGAATGTATAAAACAACATTACTTCTATTGTCATTGATGAAGTTATGTTAAAAATATGAAACTCAATACAAGAATGTATAAAACAACATTACTTCTACGACTAAAAGCATGCAAAAAGATCTTCCTGGTTTTACTTTTAGCTTAGGGGCTGTCAATAAAGTTGCAGATGTAAATACTGCAACCAAATTCATATTTCAATTGTTTGGTCTGCAAGATTTTAACTAGGAAAGGCAAACAAACTTACATTTGTAGGAAAAAACTGTAGCAAATTACAGCCAATTTGGAGGGAGCAAAAATTGCATCCTCCAAAAAATAGAGATTAAAAGAAAAAAAAAAATCCCACCTCATCAAAAAATCTGTCCTGTTCCAAATAAGAAAACGATCACACCCGTTTCCTTATGTGATAAAACTACGCATCCTTTTTCCTTATGTGATAAAATTACACAGCTTTTACACCAATTGTTTTTCAGCCTTTCCCACAATAAGATTATAGATATGCAAACAATAAATTTGAATTGAATTTGATTTCCAGCAACAAATGCTGCATGCAACAATATCTCTGCAAAATTTGCTTCGAGCTGTTTCTGCAGCAAACCTAACAGTCTCTTAATGTCATTTGTGAAGCTACCGAGCAACGTGAGTACAACTTTTACAAAACAATCTCTTAAGAAAGAAAAACACCCGATGTCAATTCCAAGAGATATTAGGCAAACTAAAAGTTTTGGCGTCAGTGCTCGCAGATCAAATTTTTATGTCATCTTCTTTAAGAACATAGCAGTTGATTTATTCTTACAGATAGTAATATACTGACATAAACCTTGACATCCCTCTCACAGATTGTCTAGACAAAGAACTAGATAGTGTTATGTTGACAATCACTATAATTGAATACACTTCACAATACTTAGCAATCATGAAATTATATCACGATCGTGGTGCTAATATTAACTTCTTATCAGGTAATGCCATTAATCAGCTTTATAGACCTATACACTAAACTTTTAAGCAGACCTTTTCACATTAGCTTTTAAGAAGGGTTGTGTGTCCATCTCAAAAAACCCGGGCACTTGAGAGTTCCATCATGTGTCCAAGAAAGGTCTGGGTTAAAGAAGCGGTAGTAGACAAATATTCAGAATTGACAACCTAACAAATCCGTATAATGAGAAACTTAATATCAACATACCCAAATTATGTTGCGACAATCCGCATATGGATTGGGTACTCATCAAGCAACTTGGGCCAATCAGTTTAAGTCTTACATTAGACTATCGACTTATTAAATTGATCAAGTAGCCTGTCCATGGGCATAGAAAACTGTCTGTGTGCAGACAACTTGATAGTGATGTAAGTAGCCTATTCACCGAAATGATCTGATTAGCAAGATTTGTAAGAAGAAGGAACTGAATGGGTAGCCAACTTCAAAAAATCACAAATGCAACCACCACAAAATGAAAATATAACTGTTTGGAACAAACATCAGCAAAAAAGTACTATGACAATTAGCACTATATTATCACTTGGAGAAGGCTATAAATAGCACCATTTCCCTTCCAAATTCTTCATCTTTATCTCCATCTCCATCTCCATCTCCATCTCCTCCATGTCTAAGTCTCCATCGCTTAGATCGGAGATGCTCCTCAATAGAGGAGCTATTAGACATTGCTAGTTTAAGATTTAAACCAAGCAACAACATATGCACCTACCCGTGCAAAAATATGAACATGTTCATGTGGATGGACAAAGGAAATACCAGGGCGCAATGGGAGAGAGTATTGGGATGGATGCATATATATTGGTGACGCAGGATGAGAGCCAGCACGAGTTGGATTAAATGATGTGATCATAGCGTCTGGGGGACCATAGCCAATTGGAGAACGCGGTGATTGTACAAGCCCATGTCCATGTATTTGTTCAGGAACAGACCAGTGAGTCTAATCAATGCAAATTTGAGGCCTATGGCCTGCACCAAGTTGTGAAATTCTGTATTATAGTTCACTGCAGGTGAAAATAGCGGTTGCACAGGGTATGAGCCTGCACTAAATCCAAAGCCAGGATCATATATTTTCATGTATCTGAAAACACATACAAAATGGATAAGGTTTAGATACAACTTTCTTGTTAAATCGATATGATTTGATAAATATGATCACTATGTTCTCTAGAAAACATAGAATATCATCATCATAAACAACAATTATTTAACGAGAAACATGATTTAACAGGTGAATGTAGAAAGTAGTCATGGAGCTTCTTGGTAACCAACTAGATTGATCGCCAAAGAACCAAAAACATAAGGTAGTAAAAATTTAGCAGCAGTTGTAAGAATAGCCAGAAAGAATGTGACTTCTTTTATAAATAATATCCAGGATGTACCTTTTTCGTATTATAACTAGAAAAAAGACTGTGATTCCAGGAAAGTTCTTAAGATACAAAATCAATAACACAAACTCCATGGCTCAAAACAGGAGAATAATACAAAATTGTGCATCCTGTGCCATCAGAGCAACAAAAGGTGAGAGTCATTTAAAATTTCATCAGAAGAAAACAAAAGAAAATAGGAGAACACGATCAGAAATCTACATCTTTAGATAATATGATGAATAACACCAAAGGTTTAATGAACAGACTAGAACAACCACCTAGAAAACTTGCCTGTCATAGCATCTATCGAAGTCTGGATCCTTGCGCTCCACTACACAATCATGGAACATTGCCACTCTATTGCTTGTCCTGTGTCTGCTGACATCTGGCTCTTTATCCATTTTGTTTCTGCTCAACCTAATGTTACCTGAAGCAGAACCACCAAAACCCCTCCTCGAATTATTTTCAGGTCCTTCAAATGCAAATCCTTCATCAGGCCTTCACATCATCCTGGAGCAGTAACGTAAACCACTACACTGCTACTGCTATTGCTAAATATGCATGCACGTGCTCTGTTTTATTCTTCTTTTCTTTCTTCAATTAGATGACTGTTCTTAGAAGAATGGGAACTTAATTTGCTAATATTTTGTGAACCCTTCTCTGTTTGATTGCCACTTTGACAGTTGTGTTCCCATCATCATGCGGGAGATTCACCGGAATACCTGCAAGATGAATTACAGGAAAACGAGACTCTTGAGGTTTTCTGAAGCACAATTAGAGAGCCGGACCCATCAGGCAAGCTATTACCTGGCACAGCCAAAGACTGTAGGCAATAGTGCTGGGCTATACGATCTGCTGTTAATCGAAGGTAAGGAAGTATGAAGTGCATCAAATGCCAATTGTTGTTGGGCGGGGTCACGAAGAAACTTCTCTACATCTTGCTTCATCCACAAAACTGAAAGAGAGAAAATGTCAGGTACTCTGCATATAAAAAGCTTTATATATATAAGAATAACTTAGCTCCTAGATTTTAGGATGCTGATGAAATGAAGACTACAAGTTTCTTACACTATGACATGATACTGACAGAAGTACACGGAAACTCAAAATTGCTGCACATAAAATGGATAATAAAACTTAATTAAAAAAATTTCTTGATACATGAAAATAACAATCAAGAATGGAGGAAAATGAAAAACGGGTGGTTCATGTATAATTGTATACCACCATCTAGTTATTTAACATTACTAATCAGTTGTTATTTTATCTTCTTTATTTCCTGTTTATCCATTAAATAGCCCTGCATCAAGAATACTAATTATATTTGACCCCAGGGCCTAGAGATCAGGAAAAAAGCTTTATTGTTATTGATGTTGGTGAAGTTGTCATTGAGGTTGTTTCCACTTTTACATGATGTGAAGACTTTGTCCACTATACTCCAGAAGGGATAGAAGTGAGACAAAAATAATTAGCCAAATGGGTGAAGGATGAAACACTACTTTCTGGTTTTAACTACTTTGCTCTTTTGCTAGGCCTAGTCAAATTATTAATTTCAATAATTTAAACTCTTTAGCTGCGTCGAGGAAAACAATTGACCAGAGTTTTTAGTTAACTTTGCTAAGATCTTTTGGGCGATAATGTTCCCGACATGGCCGATATGTAAGTCCATATGTTGGTTGTTATGTTCTTTCATGTGACTTGTCACAAAACAATATAGTTCTGCAAAAATTTTTTAACGTTTTCTAGCAAAAATTCCAGCCTTATGAAGGTATTTAGCAAAATTCCAGTTGGCTCTTTTCCCTAAGTTTCTATAACAGTTAGTGATATAAACATATATTATTTACTATATTGTATGCTTAGTCCTTAGATTACATTTCATGACATATATTATATATGCAAATCATCTGATATGACTCCAATATTTACCACTCCAATATTTACTGTCATGCCCCGGGCCCGCGGGCTCGTTGGTGCGTGCAAGCCGTGGGAACCACCGAGTGTAATGTGCTATTTGGCTCAAACCACTGCCAAAATCGATTAGCCGATGTTACACTTGAGTCTTTAGCTTCACCATATAAACCCTTTAAATTCCCTCATTCTCACCGATGTGGGACTAATATTTTTTTCTGGGAATGTTGGTGGGATATCACACTTACCACGTATCCTTGACATCTGCAATCCGATATGTATTTTGGCCATGGATATTTCCCCCAACCATCAAAAGAGGTATATGTGGCATCCTTTACAGTTTTGAATGATAAGCTTCATCTCAAATGCCTAAATTCTGTAACGAGGTTAAATTCAAATTAAAGCTAAAAAATAAAATGGTCAGTCTCTTGAACTTCTCTTCAGCGGTACGTACAAGAGAAGTAACTAGCCCTAACTCCAAACCATAGATGAAAAAAAAAATCATAACTTTTTCAAGATTACCAAAGAATAACCAAAGAAGGAAAAAAAAAGAAAAAAAGAATTGTAGTTGCGTAGTCGCCGCTTACTCGATAACCGCTCTCAAGGTTTCCTCTCTAAGAAGCTGATCCGCTTGATTCAGCGCTACCTACGAGATCCCTCCGCCTCCATCCCCAGAAACCGCCGCCACCGCCGCCGACGAAGTCGAAACTGAAGAATCCGGCGCCTGCGACGGAGAACCCGAGCGTTTCTTGGTCCAGAGGATCATCAACCGACTCACTCTCCCGCCGAGGTCCGCCGTCTCCCGCGAGTCCGGAGCTCCGACCTCGTCAGCGTAGGTCTCCATTGATCGCTAGGGTTTGGTAGTGGGGATCGAAGCCATAATTTTGATCGAGGGGAGTTCCGTTAGGAGAAGAAAAGGTCTCATTCTAGGGCTCGGGATTTGGGGAAGGAATATTTCGCGCGAGAGAGAAAGTTGGGAGAAATTTTGAAAACCAGCCAATTTAAAAAAATTGTAAAAAACGACGTCTTCTAGAAATAATTGTCAAAACCGACCTAGTTTCAGCTAGTTTCAGCGGTCAGACTGAAAAACCAAATCGGTTTTAACAAAAAAATATAAAACTTCACGGGACTTTTCCATAAAGTTTAGTACCGCCTAATGTTAATAGATTAACTTCGTTATAAGCTGCTAAGTTTCATAATTTTTTCGTCAAAACCGACCTAGTTTCAACCTGACGGCTGAAACTATGTTGGTTTTGATAATTATTTTTAGAAGAGGTCGTTTTTTGCGAATTTTTTTGTAAATCAGATGGTTTTCAAAAATTTTCTGAAAAAGTTAAAAGGCTTCCGGTTGGTGAAATTACTATTGCCCCCCGGGTTTTGAACAGCGGGGATTTGGAGGTGGGGGTAGTTTCGGAAGAGAAGAAAATGAAATCAAATTGGGTTTTTTTTTTTTTGAAATTAGTCTCTTTCCCATAAAGTTCCGTGAAGTTTCATAGTTTTTTTTGTCAAAACCGACCCCGTTTCAACCCGACGACTGAAACTAGGTTAGTTTTGACAATTATTTTTAGAAGATGTCGTTTTTTGCGATTTTTTTTTTAATCAGATGGTTTTCAAAATTTGGCTGAGAAAGTTAAAAGGCTTCATGTAGGTGAAATTACTATCACCGACCCCCGGGTTTCGAACAGCCGGGTTTTAGACGTGGGGGTAGTTTCGGAAGAGAAGAAAATGAAATCAAATTGGGTAGGGTGTTTTTTTTTTTTTGGATATTGTTCTCTCAATTCTTTTTCATTTCGAAATTAGTCTCTCAAATCTCCCAAAATGTTGCAAGTGTTTCGTGGAATGGATGGCAACAGTCTATTTAATACGCAAAGCAAACACACAAGGTATTCGATCAAATGCATGCCCGAGATGAAAACGTTTAGTATCCTCCTCCGAGGATGGGGGCTCGGCCTTGATTCTTTACAATACGTTAGGAAGCGTTGCACGAAATGATTGTCCACAAGTTTTCGATGAAATGCATAGACCGATTCAAACCCCATCGGGAAACTTTAGCGTGCTCCTCTGAGGATGCGTGTTGGCCTTGGAATTGTTCTGAGATGTCACGATCAAATGGTTGGCGAGAGCTCGGTGTTGAGACGAAGATCGAGGATAGAGACGTTCTTGGAGACGGAGAGAAACAGTGTTGTGCCGGAGGTGGCGGTTTACCAATATGCCATTAAGGCATAGAACAATTTTTCAAAGTAGCCCCGTTTCAATTTTTTTTTAGATCGACCGATTATTTATTTATTTATCAAAACTGACTCGTTTTGTGCCACGTCAGCTTAATCACTTTCCTAAACAGTTGGGGTTGCCAACCCGAGTGTTTAGAACATAATTTTTTAGGGTTTAAGGCTTCTAATTAAGGTTTAACACATTCCTAAATAGTTGGGGTTGACAACCCCGACTGTTTAGGAAAGTGATTAAACTGACGTGACACAAAACGGGTCAGTTTTAATAAATAAATAAATAATCAGTCGATTTAAAAAAAATTAAAACGGGGCTATTTTGAAAAATTCTTCTTAAGGTATTATCCATCTTATAATTTATGGACAAATTTTCAAAACAGTCCTCTTTGAACTTTTAATCCCCAAAAAAGACCCGTTTTCAACTTAATTTGAGAAACCAACCCGGTTTCAGCCTCAGCGCTGAAACCAGGTCGGTTTCTGAAAAAAATTTCCGAAACTTCACGGGAGTCGTGAAGTTTAGTAACCATTCATGTTGATTTTTCATATGCTAAACCTAGGTATGCCAGAGATCTCATGATTTTTCCATGTCTTCTGACATTTCATCGTATGAGGTCGAAATTGACAGCTTTACTAGAATAGAACATTTTCTACCTCTAAATCCTGTTCGAGCATTGATTTGATTACTGATCTAATAATTTTAATGGTAACTTTCACGAAACCGCCTTAAATTTGGTCCCATTTAGAGATTTAATTAATTTAATTACTGATTAATTAACTTAACCTAATTTAATTGCTTTGGTGCTAATTTGAAGAGGATGATTGGTCTTTTCTACCATTTCATCTAACCTAGGTTTTAAATGTCAGCTGATATGTCCGACATGTCGGTCGACATATCGGTTTGAGGGTTTAAACGACACGACATTAACGTTTTCAACTCGTATGTCGGTTTTCAGGGCCAAATTGGAAATATCAGGGTCATATCGGGCATATCATCTTATTTTTTAGCTTTGAAAAATCGGCTGATATGATACTTTTTTTAAGATCTGTTTTTTGTTATCGGGTTTGGGTTTAGTGATAAATACTCAAACTTATTTGACCAGTTCTCATGTTTAAGGGTTTCTTATAAACCCGATAGAAAGAATTTATGAACCCAAATCCATATATTATTTACTTTTTTATATGTTTAGTCTATAGAATTTATAAAGTATGCTTATATTGAATTTATGAATGCTTAGATTACATTTAGGACATGATATTATATATATGCGCACTACCCGATATGACAATCCGATATTTAGTCAATGTCCCCCGATATATCCCCGATTTCCGCTATCCGACATGGATTTCAGCCATCCGACATGAACCCGACATCCGACATTTAAAACCTTGCATTTAACACCTTTAGGGGGGTTGGTTAAAAGTTCTGAAAAGCGCCCTAAACTGCGCGGGGGTATTAAAGCGACATTTTTAAAGCTTAGAGGGAGTTATCTCAAAAATCAATCAAACTTATATGGAGCTTTGTCTAAGTTTGAGGACGTGAGTTGCAGTCTTGCAGAGCACGGACCCAAAGTTGTATTGATATAATACCATGATTCAACTCACATTTTAATATTTTATGTCAAGCTTGATGATTTGTCCTGATATAATACCATGATTCAACTTATGCATTTTAGCCGAGAGCATGTCACAGTTTCTTTCTCCTGTAGATTTTCTACGGAGAACTCTGATATGATTTAATTTCAAAAGCAATGAAACCAGGGGAACTCAACTCCTATGTTGCGTATTTTATCAAATCTAACGAAATCTCCCTTGGAAGTTGGAACGGCCTCATTCTAGATAAATGGATATGCCAAATTCTTGAAGCAACATCATCAAATCCCACCGCATCCTTGCTTATTATTTAATAATGTCTGAGTTAACCTACGCAAACTATGCTTGTAATTGTTTATCTCTTAAGTCAATAAATATTTAGATTACGTGTATCTTATAAAAAAATAATAATAATAAGTCCACACGTATAATGTCTTCCAAACTTATAAACAAATAACCACCATCACCAAAACGCAAACGCAACTTGAGTTTGGATCCTCTCAGAACTATTCGAACTCTCAAAACTAGGGCTGAGCATGGTTCGGTCCAAACCGAAAAAACCGACCGAACCGACCTAGAAAAATCGGTTTTATGAGTAGGGCGGTTCGGGTCGGTTTGAAAACTTTTCAACCCAAACCGATCCGAACCGACCGAATATAGTGCAATACTACCCATTCTGATCTCAAACCCTATTCGACCCGTCCCTAAAGAGTCAAAGACTCAAACCCTAAACTCATTTTCTGAATCATTATGGGTTGAAAACAATATCATTATATCAGTGTTTAATGCTTCATAATCTCCTACTTTGTTGATATCTTTTTTTCTTTAACATAGTTTGTTGTTTGATAAGAAGTTTGATGAAGTTAGAACCGAACAAACCGAACCGAACCGTATCGAACCGACTTGCAACAGTTCGGTTCGGTTTTGAATTATAGGCGGTTCGGTTCGGTTGTTCAAATTTTGGTAAAAACCGAACCGAACCGACCGTTGCACACCCCTACTCAAACTATTCCGGTGGCAAGCGGCGGGGTCTTAAGTTACACATGGGAAAAATAGGGAGACAAATTGGTAATTTTCCGAATGTATGCCTTAGAACCGCCCTTTCTTAGAGCAGTCATACAACTTGGGTTTTTTTTTTTTTTGCTGGTAACGCTCTTTCAACTTTGTTTATTCCAAACTTTATAAACAAATAGAGGTAATTACCACCATGTCAAAAAAAAAAAAAAAAACAGTGGGCCACGTCAAGGGGGATATTCTGTAAACTTCAAAGTAAAATTTGATTACAAAGCAAATCCGCACATTGTTAACTTCGAATGTTAATTGGTCCGATTCAAGTTCTAGGCTGTTATAATTGTCAAATATATATATATAAATAATATATATATATATATATAATATATATATATATAATATATATATATATGATAATATATGATAATATATATATACTATATATATATATTGCATAGGACGGCTCATTGTAGATGGATATGCTATATTCTGGACTCCATCTCATCCAATCACACCGCATCCTTTGATTATTTTTTCACTAGTGCACATGGGAAATTAATTTTCAAATAACAATATTCGCTTGTCAGCTTCATCTATACAAGTTTATTCCCTATATATGCAAACTATCCTTGTTGAGTAATTATCAGGTGACCGAATCTTACGAACACACAAAGCCTACTCTCCTGTGCCAGCGATGCGTAGAGGTGTACAGTAATATCTGAGGAAATATTGTGTTACTAAAACCAATAACTGATAGCATATGGTTACGGATTTGAGGTTAATGTTGATAATTAAGATATTTATTATTAGCTTTTTAGATATAATAACATATCAATGAACTCTCCTGTATCATACAAACTTAAATATATTTGTGCTGTGTGTGTTGAAAATTATCCAGGTTTTTGATATCCGTTTTTATATCCGCGTGTATATCCGCTTATATATTGGCATGCATATCTGTATTCGTATCTGATTTTAGAGTATATGAATATGAATTTTCCTAACCGAGGCATATCTGTATTTGTATTCGTATCCGTGGTTGCTAAGCGGAAGCGGATATCGCAAGTATCATACCCGAGAAGTATTCGAACCATATGCACCCCTAGAGGCGTGCGTTACACAATGAACTTGTGTATAAAAAAAAATATTTTTAACACCTTAAATGCTAATATGAATATATTTTTTAGAAAATTATTGTCATATGTAATAATTAGGTGCTCTTATATCTTTCCAATTTTATTATTCTAATTAATTTTAATGTAAACTAAATTATTGGGAACATGTATTGAACTTTTTGAAATCTTAACCCATGTGGGATTTAGAGTAAGAAGTGTTGCCTTTCTTAATTTATAATAATAGAATAATAGATCCATATCGAAGATCTTGATTATCTAATCACTTTTCACCCAATAATTTCATTAGAGCCTTGTTTTAATGGATTAGTCGGTGTCACGTGACATTGAGATCTAAAGAAGATTCAAGATTAGTTCAATCTTGATCCTCCTGACTAAACCTACCACGTGCTCTATAATGATACAGCACGTGAACGTGTCCATCTCATGATCCAACGTCAACGCAATTTCATATTGGTAACTTAAGAGTTTAATATTTTGAAACTGGTCCTTAACATAATTGAAAATTAGTTATCCCGTCAAAATTGCAAACTACATAGCGAGTTAAATATATATCCGCAACAAGTAGTTTTCTCCCTCATAATCCCAGAAAACTTAAAGAAACGGGTCTATGAACTCAAACCCCGTACTAAAACGGGGTTTAAATAGACAAATTTTGTTTGCACTTCCGAGTGGCTTAAACACAGGGGGGTATAACGTAAAATTCATAATTAAAAAAAGGTAAGTTAAATGGAATATTCTTCTCAAATTTTAGCTAACTACCAGGACTACTATAACGTAATATCCATAACTTTGGGGACTAAATAGCAGCTTTCATGACTTGCTTGAGTAAGAGTATTACAATAGTATTGTTATTTTATGTATCTGGAATAGGGTGATAAAACCTATTGCCGCAGAGCGATTGAGTAAGAATATTACAAGAGTATCGCTATTGCACAAGGAGATGTACACATATATTACAAGAGTATCGCTATTGCACAAGGAGATGTACACATATATGTATTATCAGTTGTAGTTACTCCCATGTTAGATTACCCATGTATCAGTTGTAGTTACTCCCATGTTAGATTACCCATGAGTAGGGTACATTCTTTGATTTGTGGCATACAAGATATGACCTATGGTAAATTTTGAGTTGGATGATATTCTCTTATTATTGCGCCAACTATTTGAGAAGTAGTTCGAGATTGTGACATTGGTCCTATATGGTTTAGGCTTGGAGTATTTTTCTTTTGAGTGTTGTTTTCATTCATAGAGTTGGAATTGGTATTTAGGGATCTACAATTTGAGACAGTAGACTATGCTTAATAGATAGAACCTCCACTTCATTTAGCAGCCCTTCCCCTGGGGGCGGATGGAGGTGATCTTGCTGTAGCGCTCTGACGCTCTTGTTGTTGTTCGTTTTGTTTAAATTGTATCTTTCAGGCAGATTAGAGTTTCGGAGAGCCGCAGGATGACGAAGTTCTAGCATAGTCGCCGTCGCACAGTTTTAACAGTTGAAGCTCTACTATATAGTTATGTTCATTGTTCAGACTTTAAAGTTGTATTCATTTTGTAGAGGCTGAGTACCTTAGTGAGATTTCATTTGACTCATTGTGTTGAGATGTATTTCAGACTCAGAGACATTTTCATTCTATTTCAGTTGTGCTCATTTGTTGATATACTTCTTCTGTGCATATTGATTTTGTACTACTTCTATTATTTGCCTGTTTTGTACAATCACCTATTTGTTATTTTCACTAGAGAGATAGTGTCTGTGATGGTAAAACATGTCGTAGCATGATGTTTGGTGCTTGACAGGTTTGTACATTCACCTATTTGTTATTTTCACTAGAGAGATAGTGTCTGCGATGGTGAAACATGTCGTAGCATGATGTTTGGTGCTTGATAGGTTTGACAATCCGGGTTTCACCTTGAACTGCAGCCTTGTGTGAACCCTGGGGCGTCACAGTTGGTACCAACTTCAAAATATTAAAGAGGTAAGGGACCAATTTCTGAAAAACGAAAACTTCCTATAAAAAATTGCAAATTTATAGAGCGAGGACAAAAGAGGAGCCCCCAGAGATCTTGGGATCTTCCACCCACCCACATGCTGACACGTGGCTCACGTCAGCCTTATAAGCAACGAGAGCGCGGCGAATTTGGAAACGAGAAGCAAGACTAAAAAAGGGGGAAGAACCAAAAAAAAAAAAGAAAAAAAAAATCTCTCCTTGGATTTCTTTTTTTACCCCATAAAGTTACTCCCTCTCGTAAACCCTAACCCTAATTCGATCCAACGAGAGAGAGGGAAAACAATGGGGAGCGCTAATGGTGGTGGATCCAAGGAGAAGCTCATCATCGACACAGATCCAGGGATCGGTACTGTTTTTTCCACTATTTTTTCGGCTGTATTTATTCGATTTCTTAATGTATTTGTTTATTAATTGATGGTGGAATTCTTAGGGAAAAGTGAATTGAGACCTCAACTTTTTTTTAGTTGATTCCTTGGAAAAGTACCGATCCTTTTCCAATATTCCATACGCCTTGCTTTTTTTTTCCTGATTCACTGAATAATTGTGAATTTTTATTTTTATTTTAATTTCCTAATGGCGAAATTAGTATTTACTCAAATTTGCAATTTATCAAACAAAACTATTCCCATATTTATCAAAAAAAAAAAAATCATCGTGTCAGCAGACACTTAAAGCATTTTACTCAATTTAGACTGAAGCTTATGTCGAGAAGATGCGAACCCCTCAACTAGCCTGTTGACAAGATACTGAGCTGGATGGTCTAATAAGGGGAAATTTCTGAGCTAAATTGCAAAACTTAATCTTTATGTTATTCATCATAATTTGCCATCACTCAACCGTGATCTGGTTCACCATCACTTTAGTTCCCATTGATTGGCCGGTGCGAGGGTCTACCCGCAAAATAGCCTGTAAGTACAAGGTCATGCCCCGCCGTGAAATATGTAAATGGCAAGGTGAAATATGCACTTGTCAGAAGTATAAGCATTTATAGCTTAATCTGCTTCATATTCTCCATCTGCTCTTATTTAGGTTATCGAATGTGTTAGATTACGCAAATTTTCGCTCCATATAAAGGCCTTGAGGCATTTTAATTTAATCTTTTTGAAATCTGTAATGAAACTACCGGATTCATGCAATTTATCAGTCTGGTGTCTGTTAAAACTTTTTCTTGCCTTGATAACAGATGACAGCATGACCATTTTGATGGCTTTTCAATCATCAGAGGTAGAAGTCATAGGTTTGACAACAGTGTTTGGCAATTGCCATGCAGAAGATGCTACTCGCAATGCTTTACTTCTGGTATGTAAATGTTCACCTAGCGTATGTTAAAAGTTAAAACTACTTGTTTTCTTCGTTTCTTTTATTCTTACATTATTAGTTTTATATGCCTGGAAACATACCCATCATCGCTTATTAATTGTAATGTGGAAAAGGATAGTGTGAGATCGCAGGGCATCCTGAAATTCCAGTTGCAGAGGGTAGCCAGGAACCACTAAAGGTAGATACTTCATGCTTTCTAGTGAGCATAAGTTTTAATTGACTACTTTTTTTTTAACTTGTATGTTACCCTTTAGGATTATTCTTAGTTTTGCAGCATATATAGAAAACAAAAACCGATTGTTGTTCCTCTTTTTTTTGTCCCCAACTTCAAAACAGATAATGAGGCTAATTGTTCTTGACTTGCATCGGTTGACATTATTATTTTTCATTGATAGGGCGGGAAACCCTGTGTTTCTGATTTTGTACATGGATCTGATGGTATTGGGAATTTATTTCTCCCACCGCCTTCAGGGAACAAACTTGAACAAAGTGCATACGAGTTTTTGGTTGACAAAGTTTCTCAGTATCCCAGTGAAGTCTCTGTACTTGCATTGGGGCCTCTCACAAATTTAGCATTGGTAAGTACATTGTAACCCTTTATTGTCTACCCTGATCTTTCAACAACAATGTTATCTAACTCTATCTTTAGATCATACTAACAATACAAGATTTGATAAACGTAATGATAGATTATATCTAAGATAACCTGATATGTATTCTCTATGTTGATTGATATCCTTTACCTTATTAGCATTGGGCTAACAACTCGTTGATTATTAACTTTTTCAGGCCATTAAAAGAGATTCATCATTTGCAAGCAAGGTGAAGAAGATTGTTATACTTGGAGGAGCTTTCTTTACATCTGGAAATGTTAATCCCGCTGCTGAAGCAAATGTAGAGACACGCTAAACTGAGTTCTTGCCTTAAACTTCCCATTAAGTGTTGTCAAACTTTGAATTTATGACTGCAACTCGCTCGATTATAGCAGCTTCTTATCAAACAGAATGAAAAATAATAATTAAAATGTAACTATTCTTTAAAAAGAACTTGTCTTCCCATAATACCTAGTATCATTGCATTCTCCAATAATTTTAACTTGTAAGAACGGTGAGACACTTCTTAAGATGTCTATTATTGATTTTCGCCTAATTGTTACGGCTTTTTCACTCCACAAAATGCTGCTGAAACTGTATTGAAAGTTAAGTTTTGGAGAATGGTACCAATGTAAGACTAGGAAATTTGCTTTATCCCATGTTTTATAATAATAACCATTGGGCAAATCACTTTTGTTCTTCCGATCATTCTTGTTTGAATGAAGGCTAAGAAGTGTTCCAGATGACATATCTTAGGCTTTTCAGTAGAATGTTGACCAGCTTCATAATAACTGCTAAAGTTGCTCTAAGTATCTTCAGCTAAGAGCATGCAAAAGGTTTACATGCATCAAATCCTGTTAATGCAGATTTATGGGGATCCTGAAGCAGCTGACATAGTGTTCACTTGCGGAGCAGAGATTGTGGTTGTGGGCATTAATATTACAACTCAAGCCATTCTTTCAGGTAAGCATGTTTCTTTTCTTTCTTCATTAATTGCGGACAGACCCCCCTGTACTATTGCCCCATTGCAGATAGACCCGCTATAGTTCTATGGTTGTAAATAGAACCCTCCCAGTGAAAGTTTTTGACTCTTTTACCCTGACGGAGCCAAAAAGTTCCGGTTATGGGTCTATCTGCAACTACTGGTGGTCAAACCCATAATTGGGTGATAGTACAGGGAGTCTATCCACAATTAACCCTTCATCAAATGACTGTGTGAAACTTGGACTCACTAACGCAATTTCTCCATGATCGCAGATGCAGATATCTTTGATATAAGAAACTCCAAAGGAAGGCATGCACAGTTCTTAGGTGACATAACCAAGTTCTACAGAGACTGGCACGTTAAATCTGATGGGGTTCATGGTGAACAAGCTTTTTGTAATTTGTTCTTTACGTGAAATAAGGAAAGTGTGTGGATTTTGTTTAACTTTGTTTAAGTTTACTCTTCAGGTATTTTTCTCCATGACCCAGTTTGTTTCACTGCACTCCTCAGGCCTGATCTATTTACTTTTAAAAAGGGGGTTGTGAGGGTTGAAACTCAAGGAATTTGTGCTGGGCACACATTAATGGACCAAGGACTGAAGAAGTACCGATATGCCTACTTTTCTTTCCCTTTTCTTTGTTTTTCTTTAATTTTATCGGTTATTCAACTATTTACCATTGGATATGCAGGTGGAATTCGAGTAATCCTTGGTCAGGCTACTCTCCGGTCTCAGTTGCCTGGACTGTCGATGTGCCCAAGGTTATTGCCTACGTTAAAGAGCTGCTTATGAAACCCTGAAGGCTTGGGTGAACACATCATTTCGAAAAACTTCTGTTATCATTTCCATGTTGGGGATGTGTTAAAAACATTTAAATAAAACATCAAATCCCAAATTTACATTACCAATCTGCTGTTGGCATTTCTCTAGAGGGTTGTGTTGGCATCAAAAACTTCTGTACTGATACGGTTTATGTAAATGAAATTACATAACTGAAAATTTCTTTCAATGTCGATGAGTTTTGAGTACTGTAAATTTCATTCCGAAGCATTTTAGATCCCATTCACAAGTTATAATGACCAACTACATACCTTGTTAAGAGTTTTTGTAGGAGCTGGAAAAGCTTCAGCTTCTGTTAAATAATTGGAGCTTTGATTCAGATAACGAGCACGGAAGAAAGAATCTCATCTCTTTATTTCTTGATCATCCATCATTTTCTGAAACATGACATAGTTGAGCTCTGTTTCACCAGTAATCAGCACAAGAGCAAGACCCATCCTTAAAATGATGAAACCGATTCGAATCTCTAACAACTATCTCCCTGTCCTCCATCGCCGACACCATCTTTATCACAGTATGACAATCTCCACAAACCCTCAAATTCTTCACAATCTGCAAAGGACTCCCCTTCAGTGTAGAAATCAATCCATAAGCAATCGCAAGCCTCTCGCTGTGCTGAGCCAGAGTCGCCGCCTTCTGCTCCTCCTCCATATCCCTAAGCACAAATTCTGTATTAGGCCTGTACCCTCTCTGCTTAAGCTTACTCATTATTTCCTCGATCTTTATCTGTATTCTATCGGATAACGGGTGAGACTTATCCGAAGCCAAGAACGAATGCGTCTTGTTCTTGATCTGGATCCAACTGATTCCTGCTTCCTTCTTTACTTTCCTATCATCCATCAGCTTTCTCACTGCATCTCTGTCCTCCCATCTTCCTGCAGTCGCGTAAACATTCGACAAGAGCACATAAGCAGCGGAGTCGTTTGGCTCCATCTGAATTAGGGTTTTCGCTGCGAGCTCACCCAGCTCTATGTTCTTGTGCACCCTGCATGCCGCAAGCAGCGTTCGCCACACTGTGGGGCCCGCTTGAAACGGCATGTCTGTGATGAGTTCCATCGCTTCTTTTAGTCGCCCAGCTCTGCTATATAGGTCGACCATACAAGCATAATGCCCCATCGTTGGAACAATTTCATGATCTTTGATCATCGAATCGAAGTATTTTCTCCCTTCATCAATAAGTCCAGTATGAGTACAGGCCACAAGGACACCGAGGAAGGTGACACTATCCAACACGAGTCCTTGTTCGACCATTTCTTGGAAAATCTGTAGAGCTCTCTTTCCATAGCCATGCTGAGCATAGCCAGAGACCATTGAGTTCCAAGAGACTAAATCTCTCTCGGGTTGCCTCTCAAAGGCTCTCTGAGCACTCTCGATGCTCCCCTTCTTCGAGTACATCGTGACCAAAGCACTGCTGACACACAGAGTGTCTTGGTACCGATACTTGATTGAGAAGGCATGGAATTGTTTTCCTTGATCAGACGAAGATGTTGGGCTCGAGCAAGCGTTTATAACGCTTGAAAATGTGAATTCATTTGGGAAAACCCCTTTTCTAACCATCTCTCTGAATAGCTCAATTGCGCCTTCAGAATCTGCGGCCTGAGCATAAGTTGATAACATTGCAGACCAAGTGACAATATCCTTTTCATCGATCCTTTTGAAAATCGATATTGCTTCATATGTGTTTCCAAGCTTAGAATATGCAGCAAGAAGAGCAGAACCAACTGATAGGGAACAAAGGTAGTTTGTTTTGATAGCCTGACAATGGATTTCAAACGGTGAAATGCAAGCAGGAGAAGCGGTTAATACGGTTGAATATGTGAAATCGTTTGGTTCGATTCCATTTCTCATCATTTCGTTGAATAATTTCACTGCTCGGTGAGATTCATTGTTTTGGATGAAGCCCCCGATCATTGCAGTCCATGAAACAACGCTACGATCCTCTGAAACTATCGAAAAAAGCTCAAATGCATCAGATATTTCATCGCATTTGCAATAGACAACTAGAAGAGCAGTCAATATATTGCAATCTTGGCCATACCCTTCTGTGAATACACAGCAATGAAGCTGCCTTGCGAGGGTAAGTGCTTTAAGATTTGCGCACAGCTTTATGGCGGTCACAAAGCTCAGCTGTGAGAATCTATGACCATCAACTCTCATTGAATACAAAAACTTCAGGGCTTCAAGATCGAATCCATTGAGCACGAGCCCAGAAATCATAGCGTTCCAAGATACAACGTCTCGAAAATTCTCCATTTCCTCAAAAACCAATCTTGATTCTTGAATCATCCCACATTTCGAGTACATATTGATAAGGGAATTGCAGACAAATGTGGTTGTTTCAAACCCTAGCTTAATCAACAAACTGTGTGCTTTCGTCCCAATTTTGATCTCTCTTTGCATCGCACAAGAACTCAAAAAACTGGCGAAAGTGAATGAGTTTGGCTTAATTCCTTCATATTGCATCTTGAGAAAGAGTTCAAACACAGAATTTATGACCCCCTTGTTCAGGTAACCAGTGAGCAATGAAGTCCAAGAAACCACATTTTTGTCCTTCATCAAATCAAAAACTCTCCTTCCATCTTCCAACATATCGCACTTCATGTACATATCGACAAGAGAAGTGCCCACGCTTACTGCATCGTCAAACCCAAACTTGATACCTACAGAATGAAATTGCCTACCGAGGAATTGGTCACGTATCGATCCGGAGACCTTTAGAATGCACGAAAGGGTGAAATCGTTGATGGGGTTTGATGATCGGTGGGTCTCGATGAATAGATCGAGAGCTTCGCGGTTGAGATTTTTGCGGGAGTATTCGAGTAGCAAGTGGTTGCATTGGGGGAGGTTTGGTTGGGGAATTTCGTCAAACGGATGGTGGGTTGAGGTTTGGTTATCTAGCCTGAGCCTGTTCAGCGTGGATCTCAGGGTTTGGTCTATGTGGGTTTTCTCTGAAAGCTTTGAAAGAGGCCTTGGGATCATGATGAAGTTGGGAAATTTGAAATGTTGAGTGGAGGGGGAAACAAAGGGTGTTTGTTAGAGGGGGCTTGCTATAAATGGATAAGATAATGGGGTTAGGAATAAATAATTTGTTTTTTTTTGGAAGAAAACAACTTCAGAAGACCATTGTTTGGGGTGGAAAAAACAAATTTCCAAAGTTTAAGAATCAAGATTTTGGGGATAATATAATAAATATTGATTATTGTGTGTATGTAGCTAAAACCCCTTTTTTTTCAATTTCTGAAATTTTGGATTATGCTAGAAGCAGATCAGGACAAATTGCAAGTACAAAGAACCAAACTTAGCCCATTGGGCTGCAATCCTTGTAGCCACAACTAATAAAAAATGACCCATCAGTCCTTTTTTGCTTTTCCCAGTATATATTATCCAATTTCTGTCAAGAACAATTTGTCACTTCAGCCCCATTTTAATTTTTTTTATTTAAATCGACCCTTTTTTTTATTTACCAAAACCGATCCGATTTTTTGATTAGCAGTTTAATCACCTTCCTAAACAGTCGGGGTTACCAACCTCGACTATTTAGGACATTAATTTTTAGGGTTTAAGACTTCTAATTAGTGTTTCTCCTAAATAGTCGGGATTGGCAACCCCGACTGTTTAGGAAGGTGATTAAGCTGTTAATCAAAAAATCGGGTTGGTTTTGGTAAATAAAAAAAAAGGGTCGATTTAATTTTTTTTTTGAAATGAGACTGTTTTGAAAAATTGTTCTTTCTGTCAACCCATTAATCAATCCCAAGTGCGTTTATCTCACTCAGAACAAAGAGTGGTGTTACAGGCACACTGCCTGCCACACCCCCAACCACATTCTCTCTCTGTCTACAGTGCAGGGGGGAGTGGTGTTACAGGCACACTGCCTGCCACACCCCCAACCACATTCTCTCTCTGTCTACAGTGCAGTGGGGTTCACACATGATTTTTTTAAAAAAATCATGTGTGGACCCCACTGCACTGTAGACATAGAGAGATTATGGTTGGTGGTGTGGCAGACAGTGTGCCTGTAACATTTTCCCAGAACAAACTATTATCAACGTGAATAGTAAACATTGTATATTAACATATAATTTTTTTTTAAAAAAGAAGAGTAAAAATTTCGAGGCATACTTTAACAGTGTAACTGAGCTAAGGTATTTCTATAATTGTTGGATTTTGTAATAAAATTTTTATCTTGGTCAATTTTTTTATATTAAATGTTAAAATTGATCTTTATTAGTAAAAAAAAAATCTCCATCATAACTATTTACAATTTCTTTCTTCTTTTTTGAAATATAAAGTACACCTAGAGTTTCGACAACAGATAAATAAAATCTTTATTTGATGTATAAAAATGATGTTAAACCTTTATTTGGCACGCTAGGCTCATCTCATTTTCTGGTAGATTATCTCAGTTGCTATTGTGTATATTAAAATGGAAGGATCTTTTATATATGTTGCTAGCGAATGCATAAATTTTTCTTCATTTTGGTTTATATGTTATTTAAAAAAAGGGTTCTTTCGATTTAAATCATCTTTATTTTGATATTAGTCTTTTAAATCTTCACATTTTGATATTAGTCCCTAAAATTGTACGTATTAATATGCTGATATTAGTCTCTCCGTTAGTTTTATGGTTGAAAGACCCCAACCCTGCTTAGGTTTAGAAGGGTGTTGCCTCAGGGACCCCAAATAGGGGACCCAAGTGGGTGACATGTGAGGTGTCCCCCTGAACAGTGC